GCACAAACATGCACAAACAATAACAGACGGGTGACAGACGGGTGACAGACTTGTGACGGACTTATGAAACATAAAGCAATCGCTTACTGATTATAAAAGCCCAAATGCTCTCGTGATTAGTTCGATACACATACCGTTCTTACTTGAGCTATCACGACCGAGATACGACCGAAGTACGCGGTACGTGTATTACAATGCACACGGGCACCAGCAATGTTCGTTATCTGTGCTACATCTTGTATACTCCCCAAGTCAAAGAGACGTTTAGGTAAGATGGGTTGTCAAACAAACACAATTACATTACATTTCCATCGTTTGAATGCGTGTTGACCGCCGGATGAACAGCATTGCAAACACGTTGGTTTTAGAGATATCAGCAACTTCTTCTGTACAAGTATCGTATGAAAACTTGACATAGTGATAGGAGAGATCATCGTCCGTGTTGGCACTATACAGGGAACACATGTCCCATCCTGGGATAACCATTACCAGACATTTCAACCGGCTGGGCTTCTTCTCCGTCGACGTGCACATGGTGCGCGAGATTACCAAGTCAAACATGAGCCCAGGCGACACGCTTCCACTGAGTGTTCATTCTCACATTTACGGCCTCGAGCTCCAATTACTCAAGTCCAACACGCAAGCTCTTTCGCTTTCTATCGGACCCAAGTCTCCAAATAGCACCTCCAACCATGTTCAGCAGCAACAAGATCTTCGCCGTGTGCATCGCCGTCGTGGTGTTATCCAGTGGCATACACGCTGAGAAGGAAGTCGCCGAGACGTTTGGCCGTTATCACAACCATGGCTTGGGTGTGTTTGTTGGCGGCGGTGTCGGTGGAGGTGTTGGTGTCGGTGTCAACGGCGGTGTCGGTGTTGGTGTCGGTGTCAACGGCGGTGTCGGATATGGTGCGCCGAGTTATGTCGGCTACGGCTACCCCGGTGTCGGCGGTGGAGTCGGCGTAGGTGTCAACGGCGGTGTCGGATATGGTGCGCCGAGTTATGTCGGCTACGGCTACCCTGCGGGTACGTCAACTGGCGGTACAGCAGGTGCGTCGACTGGTGGTGCAGCGGCTGCGTCGGCAAGCGCCACAGCAAGTGCCTCTGCGAACGCTGGGGCTGGAAATGGAGCCACGTACCGCAAGCTTCGCTCGGCGGCGTAAACTGGTGGACTTGTATCGACCGAACTCGTTTGTCCTTCCAATTTGCCCTGTTAGCAGCATTGTAGTCCAATGCTCCTGTAGTGTACACTTTAAATGTAGCGAAAATAAAGGATCTGTTGTCCGATATGTGCTATCAGTTGTTGTACATCTAGCCTGCAACTTGTAGGTAGTAGGTATGCGTATGCGAGAATTACATTGCAACTTCAGTTTAGCTGAGATATAGAACTCATAAACCTATACATGATCGGGTTGCTCCAGTGGCAGACATGCAGGTCAAGCATGACCCTTGCAGCCGTGCCACTTCGTAACAGCCACATGAGCGAGGCGAAACAATAACTTTGTTTTAGTATTGGTAATGACTGTGGAGGTCGTGTTTCATACGGTCATGTGTTTTGAAGTACTGCAATGTTTAGCGCCAAAGAACAATGAGCTACCAGGCGTCTATATGCAAAGGAACATGAATGTGGCTTGTGCGGGGCTCGTACAAGATGCCAACACAAGTCACGGTCAGGTTCGACACCTGATTCCGGTTCTCGCTATGACTTCAGAAAAAACCCAGCAAGACAGTGATTGCATATAAACATCTTGTTTGCCGCTCAAAGGATACTTCTTACAGAGGGTTGCTCTATAAAGGTTAGTGTGATCTGGTTGTACATTCTGATGCAGCGGTCTCTCTACCTTGGCTAGCTCAAGAGGCATGATCAAAAGATGCTTTTGGTAAGACTATACGCAACATGAGGTGAACCGACGTATCATCATTGCAAGCAAGTGGTTGATGTAAATGGTCATCATCCATAAGTTTTAGCTGTCAGATGTTGACCTCTTCATAAAAAAATGGTCAACTATTGTGACCGGCTTGGACAGACTACTGTGTGTACTTCAGAACGATCGCGTCGAGTCACTTAAAGCCGGAACGAAACTTTGTACGACCTCTTGCGCGGACAGTATGGTAGTAGACTCTACATCATCTTAGCTATGAATTTGTTGCAAACATGCACAAACATGCACAAACAATAACAGACGGGTGACAGACGGGTGACAGACTTGTGACGGACTTATGAAACATAAAGCAATCGCTTACTGATTATAAAAGCCCAAATGCTCTCGTGATTAGTTCGATACACATACCGTTCTTACTTGAGCTATCACGACCGAGATACGACCGAAGTACGCGGTACGTGTATTACAATGCACACGGGTACCAGCAATGTTCGTTATCTGTGCTACATCTTGTATACTCCCCAAGTCAAAGAGACGTTTAGGTAAGATGGGTTGTCAAACAAACACAATTACATTACATTTCCATCGTTTGAATGCGTGTTGACCGCCGGATGAACAGCATTGCAAACACGTTGGTTTTAGAGATATCAGCAACTTCTTCTGTACAAGTATCGTATGAAAACTTGACATAGTGATAGGAGAGATCATCGTCCGTGTTGGCACTATACAGGGAACACATGTCCCATCCTGGGATAACCATTACCAGACATTTCAACCGGCTGGGCTTCTTCTCCGTCGACGTGCACATGGTGCGCGAGATTACCAAGTCAAACATGAGCCCAGGCGACACGCTTCCACTGAGTGTTCATTCTCACATTTACGGCCTCGAGCTCCAATTACTCAAGTCCAACACGCAAGCTCTTTCGCTTTCTATCGGACCCAAGTCTCCAAATAGCACCTCCAACCATGTTCAGCAGCAACAAGATCTTCGCCGTGTGCATCGCCGTCGTGGTGTTATCCAGTGGCATACACGCTGAGAAGGAAGTCGCCGAGACGTTTGGCCGTTATCACAACCATGGCTTGGGTGTGTTTGTTGGCGGCGGTGTCGGTGGAGGTGTTGGTGTCGGTGTCAACGGCGGTGTCGGTGTTGGTGTCGGTGTCAACGGCGGTGTCGGATATGGTGCGCCGAGTTATGTCGGCTACGGCTACCCCGGTGTCGGCGGTGGAGTCGGCGTAGGTGTCAACGGCGGTGTCGGATATGGTGCGCCGAGTTATGTCGGCTACGGCTACCCTGCGGGTACGTCAACTGGCGGTACAGCAGGTGCGTCGACTGGTGGTGCAGCGGCTGCGTCGGCAAGCGCCACAGCAAGTGCCTCTGCGAACGCTGGGGCTGGAAATGGAGCCACGTACCGCAAGCTTCGCTCGGCGGCGTAAACTGGTGGACTTGTATCGACCGAACTCGTTTGTCCTTCCAATTTGCCCTGTTAGCAGCATTGTAGTCCAATGCTCCTGTAGTGTACACTTTAAATGTAGCGAAAATAAAGGATCTGTTGTCCGATATGTGCTATCAGTTGTTGTACATCTAGCCTGCAACTTGTAGGTAGTAGGTATGCGTATGCGAGAATTACATTGCAACTTCAGTTTAGCTGAGATATAGAACTCATAAACCTATACATGATCGGGTTGCTCCAGTGGCAGACATGCAGGTCAAGCATGACCCTTGCAGCCGTGCCACTTCGTAACAGCCACATGAGCGAGGCGAAACAATAACTTTGTTTCAGTATTGGTAATGACTGTGGAGGTCGTGTTTCATACGGTCATGTGTTTTGAAGTACTGCAATGTTTAGCGCCAAAGAACAATGAGCTACCAGGCGTCTATATGCAAAGGAACATGAATGTGGCTTGTGCGGGGCTCGTACAAGATGCCAACACAAGTCACGGTCAGGTTCGACACCTGATTCCGGTTCTCGCTATGACTTCAGAAAAAACCCAGCAAGACAGTGATTGCATATAAACATCTTGTTTGCCGCTCAAAGGATACTTCTTACAGAGGGTTGCTCTATAAAGGTTAGTGTGATCTGGTTGTACATTCTGATGCAGCGGTCTCTCTACCTTGGCTAGCTCAAGAGGCATGATCAAAAGATGCTTTTGGTAAGACTATACGCAACATGAGGTGAACCGACGTATCATCATTGCAAGCAAGTGGTTGATGTAAATGGTCATCATCCATAAGTTTTAGCTGTCAGATGTTGACCTCTTCATAAAAAAATGGTCAACTATTGTGACCGGCTTGGACAGACTACTGTGTGTACTTCAGAACGATCGCGTCGAGTCACTTAAAGCCGGAACGAAACTTTGTACGACCTCTTGCGCGGACAGTATGGTAGTAGACTCTACATCATCTTAGCTATGAATTTGTTGCAAACATGCACAAACATGCACAAACAATAACAGACGGGTGACAGACGGGTGACAGACTTGTGACGGACTTATGAAACATAAAGCAATCGCTTACTGATTATAAAAGTCCAAATGCTCTCGTGATTAGTTCGATACACATACCGTTCTTACTTGAGCTATCACGACCGAGATACGACCGAAGTACGCGGTACGTGTATTACAATGCACACGGGTACCAGCAATGTTCGTTATCTGTGCTACATCTTGTATACTCCCCAAGTCAAAGAGACGTTTAGGTAAGATGGGTTGTCAAACAAACACAATTACATTACATTTCCATCGTTTGAATGCGTGTTGACCGCCGGATGAACAGCATTGCAAACACGTTGGTTTTAGAGATATCAGCAACTTCTTCTGTACAAGTATCGTATGAAAACTTGACATAGTGATAGGAGAGATCATCGTCCGTGTTGGCACTATACAGGGAACACATGTCCCATCCTGGGATAACCATTACCAGACATTTCAACCGGCTGGGCTTCTTCTCCGTCGACGTGCACATGGCGCGCGAGATTACCAAGTCAAACATGAGCCCAGGCGACACGCTGCCACTGAGTGTTCATTCTCATATTTACGGCCTCGAGCTCCAATTACTCAAGTCCAACACGCAAGCTCTTTCGCTTTCTATCGGACCCAAGTCTCCAAATAGCACCTCCAACCATGTTCAGCAGCAACAAGATCTTCGCCGTGTGCATCGCCGTCGTGGTGTTATCCAGTGGCATACACGCTGAGAAGGAAGTCGCCGAGACGTTTGGCCGTTATCACAACCATGGCTTGGGTGTGTTTGTTGGCGGCGGTGTCGGTGGAGGTGTTGGTGTCGGTGTCAACGGCGGTGTCGGTGTTGGTGTCGGTGTCAACGGCGGTGTCGGATATGGTGCGCCGAGTTATGTCGGCTACGGCTACCCCGGTGTCGGCGGTGGAGTCGGCGTAGGTGTCAACGGCGGTGTCGGATATGGTGCGCCGAGTTATGTCGGCTACGGCTACCCTGCGGGTACGTCAACTGGCGGTACAGCAGGTGCGTCGACTGGTGGTGCAGCGGCTGCGTCGGCAAGCGCCACAGCAAGTGCCTCTGCGAACGCTGGGGCTGGAAATGGAGCCACGTACCGCAAGCTTCGCTCGGCGGCGTAAACTGGTGGACTTGTATCGACCGAACTCGTTTGTCCTTCCAATTTTCCCTGTTAGCAGCATTGTAGTCCAATGCTCCTGTAGTGTACACTTTAAATGTAGCGAAAATAAAGGATCTGTTGTCCGATATGTGCTATCAGTTGTTGTACATCTAGCCTGCAACTTGTAGGTAGTAGGTATGCGTATGCGAGAATTACATTGCAACTTCAGTTTAGCTGAGATATAGAACTCATAAACCTATACATGATCGGGTTGCTCCAGTGGCAGACATGCAGGTCAAGCATGACCCTTGCAGCCGTGCCACTTCGTAACAGCCACATGAGCGAGGCGAAACAATAACTTTGTTTCAGTATTGGTAATGACTGTGGAGGTCGTGTTTCATACGGTCATGTGTTTTGAAGTACTGCAATGTTTAGCGCCAAAGAACAATGAGCTACCAGGCGTCTATATGCAAAGGAACATGAATGTGGCTTGTGCGGGGCTCGTACAAGATGCCAACACAAGTCACGGTCAGGTTCGACACCTGATTCCGGTTCTCGCTATGACTTCAGAAAAAACCCAGCAAGACAGTGATTGCATATAAACATCTTGTTTGCCGCTCAAAGGATACTTCTTACAGAGGGTTGCTCTATAAAGGTTAGTGTGATCTGGTTGTACATTCTGATGCAGCGGTCTCTCTACCTTGGCTAGCTCAAGAGGCATGATCAAAAGATGCTTTTGGTAAGACTATACGCAACATGAAGTGAACCGACGTATCATCATTGCAAGCAAGTGGTTGATGTAAATGGTCATCATCCATAAGTTTTAGCTGTCAGATGTTGACCTCTTCATAAAAAAATGGTCAACTATTGTGACCGGCTTGGACAGACTACTGTGTGTACTTCAGAACGATCGCGTCGAGTCACTTAAAGCCGGAACGAAACTTTGTACGACCTCTTGCGCGGACAGTATGGTAGTAGACTCTACATCATCTTAGCTATGAATTTGTTGCAAACATGCACAAACATGCACAAACAATAACAGACGGGTGACAGACGGGTGACAGACTTGTGACGGACTTATGAAACATAAAGCAATCGCTTACTGATTATAAAAGTCCAAATGCTCTCGTGATTAGTTCGATACACATACCGTTCTTACTTGAGCTATCACGACCGAGATACGACCGAAGTACGCGGTACGTGTATTACAATGCACACGGGTACCAGCAATGTTCGTTATCTGTGCTACATCTTGTATACTCCCCAAGTCAAAGAGACGTTTAGGTAAGATGGGTTGTCAAACAAACACAATTACATTACATTTCCATCGTTTGAATGCGTGTTGACCGCCGGATGAACAGCATTGCAAACACGTTGGTTTTAGAGATATCAGCAACTTCTTCTGTACAAGTATCGTATGAAAACTTGACATAGTGATAGGAGAGATCATCGTCCGTGTTGGCACTATACAGGGAACACATGTCCCATCCTGGGATAACCATTACCAGACATTTCAACCGACTGGGCTTCTTCTCCGTCGACGTGCACATGGCGCGCGAGATTACCAAGTCAAACATGAGCCCAGGCGACACGCTGCCACTGAGTGTTCATTCTCACATTTACGGCCTCGAGCTCCAATTACTCAAGTCCAACACGCAAGCTCTTTCGCTTTCTATCGGACCCAAGTCTCCAAATAGCACCTCCAACCATGTTCAGCAGCAACAAGATCATCGCCGTGTGCATCGCCGTCGTGGTGTTATCCAGTGGCATACACGCTGAGAAGGAAGTCGCCGAGACGTTTGGCCGTTATCACAACCATGGCTTGGGTGTGGGTGTTGGCGTCGGTGTCGGATATGGTGCGCCGAGTTATGTCGGCTACGGCTACCCCGGTGTCGGCGGTGGAGTCGGCGTAGGTGTCAACGGCGGTGTCGGATATGGTGCGCCGAGTTATGTCGGCTACGGCTACCCCGGTGTCGGCGGTGGAGTCGGCGTAGGTGTCAACGGCGGTGTCGGATATGGTGCGCCGAGTTATGTCGGCTACGGCTACCCTGCGGGTACGTCAACTGGCGGTACAGCAGGTGCGTCGACTGGTGGTGCAGCGGCTGCGTCGGCAAGCGCCACAGCAAGTGCCTCTGCGAACGCTGGGGCTGGAAATGGAGCCACGTACCGCAAGCTTCGCTCGGCGGCGTAAACTGGTGGACTTGTATCGACCGAACTCGTTTGTCCTTCCAATTTTCCCTGTTAGCAGCATTGTAGTCCAATGCTCCTGTAGTGTACACTTTAAATGTAGCGAAAATAAAGGATCTGTTGTCCGATATGTGCTATCAGTTGTTGTACATCTAGCCTGCAACTTGTAGGTAGTAGGTATGCGTATGCGAGAATTACATTGCAACTTCAGTTTAGCTGAGATATAGAACTCATAAACCTATACATGATCGGGTTGCTCCAGTGGCAGACATGCAGGTCAAGCATGACCCTTGCAGCCGTGCCACTTCGTAACAGCCACATGAGCGAGGCGAAACAATAACTTTGTTTCAGTATTGGTAATGACTGTGGAGGTCGTGTTTCATACGGTCATGTGTTTTGAAGTACTGCAATGTTTAGCGCCAAAGAACAATGAGCTACCAGGCGTCTATATGCAAAGGAACATGAATGTGGCTTGTGCGGGGCTCGTACAAGATGCCAACACAAGTCACGGTCAGGTTCGACACCTGATTCCGGTTCTCGCTATGACTTCAGAAAAAACCCAGCAAGACAGTGATTGCATATAAACATCTTGTTTGCCGCTCAAAGGATACTTCTTACAGAGGGTTGCTCTATAAAGGTTAGTGTGATCTGGTTGTACATTCTGATGCAGCGGTCTCTCTACCTTGGCTAGCTCAAGAGGCATGATCAAAAGATGCTTTTGGTAAGACTATACGCAACATGAAGTGAACCGACGTATCATCATTGCAAGCAAGTGGTTGATGTAAATGGTCATCATCCATAAGTTTTAGCTGTCAGATGTTGACCTCTTCATAAAAAAATGGTCAACTATTGTGACCGGCTTGGACAGACTACTGTGTGTACTTCAGAACGATCGCGTCGAGTCACTTAAAGCCGGAACGAAACTTTGTACGACCTCTTGCGCGGACAGTATGGTAGTAGACTCTACATCATCTTAGCTATGAATTTGTTGCAAACATGCACAAACATGCACAAACAATAACAGACGGGTGACAGACGGGTGACAGACTTGTGACGGACTTATGAAACATAAAGCAATCGCTTACTGATTATAAAAGTCCAAATGCTCTCGTGATTAGTTCGATACACATACCGTTCTTACTTGAGCTATCACGACCGAGATACGACCGAAGTACGCGGTACGTGTATTACAATGCACACGGGTACCAGCAATGTTCGTTATCTGTGCTACATCTTGTATACTCCCCAAGTCAAAGAGACGTTTAGGTAAGATGGGTTGTCAAACAAACACAATTACATTACATTTCCATCGTTTGAATGCGTGTTGACCGCCGGATGAACAGCATTGCAAACACGTTGGTTTTAGAGATATCAGCAACTTCTTCTGTACAAGTATCGTATGAAAACTTGACATAGTGATAGGAGAGATCATCGTCCGTGTTGGCACTATACAGGGAACACATGTCCCATCCTGGGATAACCATTACCAGACATTTCAACCGACTGGGCTTCTTCTCCGTCGACGTGCACATGGCGCGCGAGATTACCAAGTCAAACATGAGCCCAGGCGACACGCTGCCACTGAGTGTTCATTCTCACATTTACGGCCTCGAGCTCCAATTACTCAAGTCCAACACGCAAGCTCTTTCGCTTTCTATCGGACCCAAGTCTCCAAATAGCACCTCCAACCATGTTCAGCAGCAACAAGATCATCGCCGTGTGCATCGCCGTCGTGGTGTTATCCAGTGGCATACACGCTGAGAAGGAAGTCGCCGAGACGTTTGGCCGTTATCACAACCATGGCTTGGGTGTGGGTGTTGGCGTCGGTGTCGGATATGGTGCGCCGAGTTATGTCGGCTACGGCTACCCCGGTGTCGGCGGTGGAGTCGGCGTAGGTGTCAACGGCGGTGTCGGGGGGGGGATATGGTGCGCCGAGTTATGTCGGCTACGGCTACCCCGGTGTCGGCGGTGGAGTCGGCGTAGGTGTCAACGGCGGTGTCGGATATGGTGCGCCGAGTTATGTCGGCTACGGCTACCCTGCGGGTACGTCAACTGGCGGTACAGCAGGTGCGTCGACTGGTGGTGCAGCGGCTGCGTCGGCAAGCGCCACAGCAAGTGCCTCTGCGAACGCTGGGGCTGGAAATGGAGCCACGTACCGCAAGCTTCGCTCGGCGGCGTAAACTGGTGGACTTGTATCGACCGAACTCGTTTGTCCTTCCAATTTGCCCTGTTAGCAGCATTGTAGTCCAATGCTCCTGTAGTGTACACTTTAAATGTAGCGAAAATAAAGGATCTGTTGTCCGATACAGTTGTTGTACATCTAGCCTGCAACTTGTAGGTAGTAGGTATGCGTATGCGAGAATTACATTGCAACTTCAGTTTAGCTGAGATATAGAACTCATAAACCTATACATGATCGGGTTGCTCCAGTGGCAGACATGCAGGTCAAGCATGACCCTTGCAGCCGTGCCACTTCGTAACAGCCACATGAGCGAGGCGACACAATAACTTTGTTTCAGTATTGGTAATGACTGTGGAGGTCGTGTTTCATACGGTCATGTGTTTTGAAGTACTGCAATGTTTAGCGCCAAAGAACAATGAGCTACCAGGCGTCTATATGCAAAGGAACATGAATGTGGCTTGTGCGGGGCTCGATCAAGATGCCAACACAGGTCACGGTCAGGTTCGACACCTGATTCCGGTTCTCGCTATGACTTCAGAAAAAACCCAGCAAGACAGTGATTGCATATAAACATCTTGTTTGCCGCTCAAAGGATACTTCTTACAGAGGGTTGCTCTATAAAGGTTAGTGTGATCTGGTTGTACATTCTGATGCAGCGGTCTCTCTACCTTGGCTAGCTCAAGAGGCATGATCAAAAGTGGCTTTTGGTAAGACTATACGCAACATGAGGTGAACCGACGTATCATCATTGCAAGCAAGTGGTTGATGTAAATGGTCATCATCCATAAGTTTTAGCTGTCAGATGTTGACCTCTTCATAAAAAAATGGTCAACTATTGTGACCGGCTTGGACAGACTACTGTGTGTACTTCAAAACGATCGCGTCGAGTCACTTGAAGCCGGAACGAAACTTTGTACGACCTCTTGCGCGGACAGTATGGTAGTAGACTCTACATCATCTTAGCTATGAATTTGTTGCAAACATGCACAAACATGCACAAACAATAACAGACGGGTGACAGACGGGTGACAGACTTGTGACGGACTTATGAAACATAAAGCAATCGCTTACTGATTATAAAAGCCCAAATGCTCTCGTGATTAGTTCGATACACATACCGTTCTTACTTGAGCTATCACGACCGAGATACGACCGAAGTACGCGGTACGTGTATTACAATGCACACGGGTACCAGCAATGTTCGTTATCTGTGCTACATCTTGTATACTCCCCAAGTCAAAGAGACGTTTAGGTAAGATGGGTTGTCAAACAAACACAATTACATTACATTTCCATCGTTTGAATGCGTGTTGACCGCCGGATGAACAGCATTGCAAACACGTTGGTTTCAGAGATATCAGCAACTTCTTCTGTACAAGTATCGTATGAAAACTTGACATAGTGATAGGAGAGATCATCGTCCGCGTTGGCACTATACAGGGAACACATGTCCCATCCTGGGATAACCATTACCAGACATTTCAACCGGCTGGGCTTCTTCTCCGTCGACGTGCACATGGTGCGCGAGATTACCAAGTCAAACATGAGCCCAGGCGACACGCTGCCACTGAGTGTTCATTCTCACATTTACGGCCTCGAGCTCCAATTACTCAAGTCCAACACGCAAGCTCTTTCGCTTTCTATCGGACCCAAGTCTCCAAATAGCACCTCCAACCATGTTCAGCAGCAACAAGATCTTCGCCGTGTGCATCGCCGTCGTGGTGTTATCCAGTGGCATACACGCTGAGAAGGAAGTCGCCGAGACGTTTGGCCGTTACCGCAACCATGGCTTGGGTGTGGTTGTTGGCGGCGGTGTCGGTGTTGGCGTAGGTGTCAACGGCGGTGTCAGATATGGTGCGCCGAGTTATGTCGGCTACGGCTACGGCTACCCTGCGGGTACGTCAACTGGCGGTGTCGGATATGGTGCGCCGGCGCTGGGGCTGGAAATGGAGCCACGTACCGCAAGCTTCGCTCGGCGGCGTAAACTGGTGGACTTGTATCGACCGAACTCGTCCGTCCTTCCAATTTGCCCTGTTAGCAGCATTGTAGTCCAATGCTCCTGTAGTGTACACTTTAAATGTAGCGAAAATAAAGGATCTGTTGTCCGATATGTGCTATCAGTTGTTGTACATCTAGCCTGCAACTTGTAGGTAGTAGGTATGCGTATGCGAGAATTACATTGCAACTTCAGTTTAGCTGAGATATAGAACTCATAAACCTATACATGATCGGGTTGCTCCAGTGGCAGACATGCAGGTCAAGCATGACCCTTGCAGCCGTGCCACTTCGTAACAGCCACATGAGCGAGGCGACACAATAACTTTGTTTCAGTATTGGTAATGACTGTGGAGGTCGTGTTTCATACGGTCATGTGTTTTGAAGTACTGCAATGTTTAGCGCCAAAGAACAATGAGCTACCAGGCGTCTATATGCAAAGGAACATGAATGTGGCTTGTGCGGGGCTCGATCAAGATGCCAACACAGGTCACGGTCAGGTTCGACACCTGATTCCGGTTCTCGCTATGACTTCAGAAAAAACCCAGCAAGACAGTGATTGCATATGAACATCTTGTTTGCCGCTCAAAGGATACTTCTTACAGAGGGTTGCTCTATAAAGGTTAGTGTGATCTGGTTGTACATTCTGATGCAGCGGTCTCTCTACCTTGGCTAGCTCAAGAGGCATGATCAAAAGATGCTTTTGGTAAGACTATACGCAACATGAAGTGAACCGACGTATCATCATTGCAAGCAAGTGGTTGATGTAAATGGTCATCATCCATAAGTTTTAGCTGTCAGATGTTGACCTCTTCATAAAAAAATGGTCAACTATTGTGACCGGCTTGGACAGACTACTGTGTGTACTTCAGAACGATCGCGTCGAGTCACTTAAAGCCGGAACGAAACTTTGTACGACCTCTTGCGCGGACAGTATGGTAGTAGACTCTACATCATCTTAGCTATGAATTTGTTGCAAACATGCACAAACATGCACAAACAATAACAGACGGGTGACAGACGGGTGACAGACTTGTGACGGACTTATGAAACATAAAGCAATCGCTTACTGATTATAAAAGTCCAAATGCTCTCGTGATTAGTTCGATACACATACCGTTCTTACTTGAGCTATCACGACCGAGATACGACCGAAGTACGCGGTACGTGTATTACAATGCACACGGGTACCAGCAATGTTCGTTATCTGTGCTACATCTTGTATACTCCCCAAGTCAAAGAGACGTTTAGGTAAGATGGGTTGTCAAACAAACACAATTACATTACATTTCCATCGTTTGAATGCGTGTTGACCGCCGGATGAACAGCATTGCAAACACGTTGGTTTTAGAGATATCAGCAACTTCTTCTGTACAAGTATCGTATGAAAACTTGACATAGTGATAGGAGAGATCATCGTCCGTGTTGGCACTATACAGGGAACACATGTCCCATCCTGGGATAACCATTACCAGACATTTCAACCGACTGGGCTTCTTCTCCGTCGACGTGCACATGGCGCGCGAGATTACCAAGTCAAACATGAGCCCAGGCGACACGCTGCCACTGAGTGTTCATTCTCACATTTACGGCCTCGAGCTCCAATTACTCAAGTCCAACACGCAAGCTCTTTCGCTTTCTATCGGACCCAAGTCTCCAAATAGCACCTCCAACCATGTTCAGCAGCAACAAGATCATCGCCGTGTGCATCGCCGTCGTGGTGTTATCCAGTGGCATACACGCTGAGAAGGAAGTCGCCGAGACGTTTGGCCGTTATCACAACCATGGCTTGGGTGTGGGTGTTGGCGTCGGTGTCGGATATGGTGCGCCGAGTTATGTCGGCTACGGCTACCCCGGTGTCGGCGGTGGAGTCGGCGTAGGTGTCAACGGCGGTGTCGGATATGGTGCGCCGAGTTATGTCGGCTACGGCTACCCCGGTGTCGGCGGTGGAGTCGGCGTAGGTGTCAACGGCGGTGTCGGATATGGTGCGCCGAGTTATGTCGGCTACGGCTACCCTGCGGGTACGTCAACTGGCGGTACAGCAGGTGCGTCGACTGGTGGTGCAGCGGCTGCGTCGGCAAGCGCCACAGCAAGTGCCTCTGCGAACGCTGGGGCTGGAAATGGAGCCACGTACCGCAAGCTTCGCTCGGCGGCGTAAACTGGTGGACTTGTATCGACCGAACTCGTTTGTCCTTCCAATTTGCCCTGTTAGCAGCATTGTAGTCCAATGCTCCTGTAGTGTACACTTTAAATGTAGCGAAAATAAAGGATCTGTTGTCCGATATTTCAGTTGTTGTACATCTAGCCTGCAACTTGTAGGTAGTAGGTATGCGTATGCGAGAATTACATTGCAACTTCAGTTTAGCTGAGATATAGAACTCATAAACCTATACATGATCGGGTTGCTCCAGTGGCAGACATGCAGGTCAAGCATGACCCTTGCAGCCGTGCCACTTCGTAACAGCCACATGAGCGAGGCGAAACAATAACTTTGTTTCAGTATTGGTAATGACTGTGGAGGTCGTGTTTCATACGGTCATGTGTTTTGAAGTACTGCAATGTTTAGCGCCAAAGAACAATGAGCTACCAGGCGTCTATATGCAAAGGAACATGAATGTGGCTTGTGCGGGGCTCGTACAAGATGCCAACACAGGTCACGGTCAGGTTCGACACCTGATTCCGGTTCTCGCTATGACTTCAGAAAAAACCCAGCAAGACAGTGATTGCATATGAACATCTTGTTTGCCGCTCAAAGGATACTTCTTACAGAGGGTTGCTCTATAAAGGTTAGTGTGATCTGGTTGTACATTCTGATGCAGCGGTCTCTCTACCTTGGCTAGCTCAAGAGGCATGATCAGAAGATGCTTTTGGTAAGACTATACGCAACATGAGGTGAACCGACGTATCATCATTGCAAGCAAGTGGTTGATGTAAATGGTCATCATCCATAAGTTTTAGCTGTCAGATGTTGACCTCTTCATAAAAAAATGGTCAACTATTGTGACCGGCTTGGACAGGCTACTGTGTGTACTTCAGAACGATCGCGTCGAGTCACTTGAAGCCGGAACGAAACTTTGTACGACCTCTTGCGCGGACAGTATGGTAGTAGACTCTACATCATCTTAGCTATGAATTTGTTGCAAACATGCACAAACATGCACAAACAATAACAGACGGGTGACAGACGGGTGACAGACTTGTGACGGACTTATGAAACATAAAGCAATCGCTTACTGATTATAAAAGCCCAAATGCTCTCGTGATTAGTTCGATACACATACCGTTCTTACTTGAGCTATCATGGCCGAGGTACGACCGAAGTACGCGGTACGTGTATTACAATGCACACGGGTACCAGCAATGTTCGTTATCTGTGCTACATCTTGTATACTCCCCAAGTCAAAGAGACGTTTAGGTAAGATGGGTTGTCAAACAAACACAATTACATTACATTTCCATCGTTTGAATGCGTGTTGACCGCCGGATGAACAGCATTGCAAACACGTTGGTTTCAGAGATATCAGCAACTTCTTCTGTACAAGTATCGTATGAAAACTTGACATAGTGATAGGAGAGATCATCGTCCGTGTTGGCACTATACAGGGAACACATGTCCCATCCTGGGATAACCATTACCAGACATTTCAACCGGCTGGGCTTCTTCTCCGTCGACGTGCACATGGTGCGCGAGATTACCAAGTCAAACATGAGCCCAGGCGACGCGCTGCCACTGAGTGTTCATTCTCACATTTACGGCCTCGAGCTCCAATTACTCAAGTCCAACACGCAAGCTCTTTCGCTTTCTATCGGACCCAAGTCTCCAAATAGCACCTCCAACCATGTTCAGCAGCAACAAGATCTTCGCCGTGTGCATCGCTGTCGTGGTGTTATCCAGTGGCATACACGCTGAGAAGGAAGTCGCCGAGACGTTTGGCCGTTACCGCAACCATGGCTTGGGTGTGGTTGTTGGCGGCGGTGTCGGTGTTGGCGTAGGTGTCAACGGCGGTGTCAGATATGGTGCGCCGAGTTATGTCGGCTACGGCTACGGCTACCCTGCGGGTACGTCAACTGGCGGTGTCGGATATGGTGCGCCGAGTTATGTCGGCTACGGCTACCCTGCGGGTACGTCAACTGGCGGTACAGCAGGTGCGTCGACTGGTGGTGCAGCGGCTGCGTCGGCAAGCGCCACAGCAAGTGCCTCTGCGAACGCTGGGGCTGGAAATGGAGCCACGTACCGCAAGCTTCGCTCGGCGGCGTAAACTGGTGGACTTGTATCGACCGAACTCTTCCGTCCTTTCAATTTGCCCTGTTAGCAGCATTGTAGTCCAATGCTCCTGTAGTGTACACTTTAAATGTAGCGAAAATAAAGGATCTGTTGTCCGATATGTGCTATCAGTTGTTGTACATCTAGCCTGCAACTTGTAGGTAGTAGGTATGCGTATGCGAGAATTACATTGCAACTTCAGTTTAGCTGAGATATAGAACTCATAAACCTATACATGATCGGGTTGCTCCAGTGGCAGACATGCAGGTCAAGCATGACCCTTGCAGCCGTGCCACTTCGTAACAGCCACATGAGCGAGGCGACACAATAACTTTGTTTCAGTATTGGTAATGACTGTGGAGGTCGTGTTTCATACGGTCATGTGTTTTGAAGTACTGCAATGTTTAGCGCCAAAGAACAATGAGCTACCAGGCGTCTATATGCAAAGGAACATGAATGTGGCTTGTGCGGGGCTCGATCAAGATGCCAACACAGGTCACGGTCAGGTTCGACACCTGATTCCGGTTCTCGCTATGACTTCAGAAAAAACCCAGCAAGACAGTGATTGCATATAAACATCTTGTTTGCCGCTCAAAGGATACTTCTTACAGAGGGTTGCTCTATAAAGGTTAGTGTGATCTGGTTGTACATTCTGATGCAGCGGTCTCTCTACCTTGGCTAGCTCAAGAGGCATGATCAAAAGTGGCTTTTGGTAAGACTATACGCAACATGAGGTGAACCGACGTATCATCATTGCAAGCAAGTGGTTGATGTAAATGGTCATCATCCATAAGTTTTAGCTGTCAGATGTTGACCTCTTCATAAAAAAATGGTCAACTATTGTGACCGGCTTGGACAGACTACTGTGTGTACTTCAAAACGATCGCGTCGAGTCACTTGAAGCCGGAACGAAACTTTGTACGACCTCTTGCGCGGACAGTATGGTAGTAGACTCTACATCATCTTAGCTATGAATTTGTTGCAAACATGCACAAACATGCACAAACAATAACAGACGGGTGACAGACGGGTGACAGACTTGTGACGGACTTATGAAACATAAAGCAATCGCTTACTGATTATAAAAGCCCAAATGCTCTCGTGATTAGTTCGATACACATACCGTTCTTACTTGAGCTATCACGACCGAGATACGACCGAAGTACGCGGTACGTGTATTACAATGCACACGGGCACCAGCAATGTTCGTTATCTGTGCTACATCTTGTATACTCCCCAAGTCAAAGAGACGTTTAGGTAAGATGGGTTGTCAAACAAACACAATTACATTACATTTCCATCGTTTGAATGCGTGTTGACCGCCGGATGAACAGCATTGCAAACACGTTGGTTTTAGAGATATCAGCAACTTCTTCTGTACAAGTATCGTATGAAAACTTGACATAGTGATAGGAGAGATCATCGTCCGCGTTGGCACTATACAGGGAACACATGTCCCATCCTGGGATAACCATTACCAGACATTTCAACCGGCTGGGCTTCTTCTCCGTCGACGTGCACATGGTGCGCGAGATTACCAAGTCAAACATGAGCCCAGGCGACACGCTGCCACTGAGTGTTCATTCTCACATTTACGGCCTCGAGCTCCAATTACTCAAGTCCAACACGCAAGCTCTTTCGCTTTCTATCGGACCCAAGTCTCCAAATAGCACCTCCAACCATGTTCAGCAGCAACAAGATCTTCGCCGTGTGCATCGCTGTCGTGGTGTTATCCAGTGGCATACACGCTGAGAAGGAAGTCGCCGAGACGTTTGGCCGTTACCGCAACCATGGCTTGGGTGTGGTTGTTGGCGGCGGTGTCGGTGTTGGCGTAGGTGTCAACGGCGGTGTCAGATATGGTGCGCCGAGTTATGTCGGCTACGGCTACGGCTACCCTGCGGGTACGTCAACTGGCGGTGTCGGATATGGTGCGCCGAGTTATGTCGGCTACGGCTACCCTGCGGGTAGGTCAACTGGCGGTACAGCAGGTGCGTCGACTGGTGGTGCAGCGGCTGCGTCGGCAAGCGCCACAGCAAGTGCCTCTGCGAACGCTGGGGCTGGAAATGGAGCCACGTACCGCAAGCTTCGCTCGGCGGCGTAAACTGGTGGACTTGTATCGACCGAACTCGTCCGTCCTTCCAATTTGCCCTGTTAGCAGCATTGTAGTCCAATGCTCCTGTAGTGTACACTTTAAATGTAGCGAAAATAAAGGATCTGTTGTCCGATATGTGCTATCAGTTGTTGTACATCTAGCCTGCAACTTGTAGGTAGTAGGTATGCGTATGCGAGAATTACATTGCAACTTCAGTTTAGCTGAGATATAGAACTCATAAACCTATACATGATCGGGTTGCTCCAGTGGCAGACATGCAGGTCAAGCATGACCCTTGCAGCCGTGCCACTTCGTAACAGCCACATGAGCGAGGCGACACAATAACTTTGTTTCAGTATTGGTAATGACTGTGGAGGTCGTGTTTCATACGGTCATGTGTTTTGAAGTACTGCAATGTTTAGCGCCAAAGAACAATGAGCTACCAGGCGTCTATATGCAAAGGAACATGAATGTGGCTTGTGCGGGGCTCGATACAAGATGCCAACACAGGTCACGGTCAGGTTCGACACCTGATTCCGGTTCTCGCTATGACTTCAGAAAAAACCCAGCAAGACAGTGATTGCATATGAACATCTTGTTTGCCGCTCAAAGGATACTTCTTACAGAGGGTTGCTCTATAAAGGTTAGTGTGATCTGGTTGTACATTCTGATGCAGCGGTCTCTCTACCTTGGCTAGCTCAAGAGGCATGATCAAAAGTGGCTTTTGGTAAGACTATACGCAACATGAGGTGAACCGACGTATCATCATTGCAAGCAAGTGGTTGATGTAAATGGTCATCATCCATAAGTTTTAGCTGTCAGATGTTGACCTCTTCATAAAAAAATGGTCAACTATTGTGACCGGCTTGGACAGACTACTGTGTGTACTTCAGAACGATCGCGTCGAGTCACTTAAAGCCGAAACGAAACTTTGTACGACCTCTTGCGCGGACAGTATGGTAGTAGACTCTACATCATCTTAGCTATGAATTTGTTGCAAACATGCACAAACATGCACAAACAATAACAGACGGGTGACAGACGGGTGACAGACTTGTGACGGACTTATGAAACATAAAGCAATCGCTTACTGATTATAAAAGCCCAAATGCTCTCGTGATTAGTTCGATACACATACCGTTCTTACTTGAGCTATCACGACCGAGATACGACCGAAGTACGCGGTACGTGTATTACAATGCACACGGGCACCAGCAATGTTCGTTATCTGTGCTACATCTTGTATACTCCCCAAGTCAAAGAGACGTTTAGGTAAGATGGGTTGTCAAACAAACACAATTACATTACATTTCCATCGTTTGAATGCGTGTTGACCGCCGAATGAACAGCATTGCAAACACGTTGGTTTTAGAGATATCAGCAACTTCTTCTGTACAAGTATCGTATGAAAACTTGACATAGTGATAGGAGAGATCATCGTCCGCGTTGGCACTATACAGGGAACACATGTCCCATCCTGGGATAACCATTACCAGACATTTCAACCGGCTGGGCTTCTTCTCCGTCGACGTGCACATGGTGCGCGAGATTACCAAGTCAAACATGAGCCCAGGCGACACGCTGCCACTGAGTGTTCATTCTCACATTTACGGCCTCGAGCTCCAATTACTCAAGTCCAACACGCAAGCTCTTTCGCTTTCTATCGGACCCAAGTCTCCAAATAGCACCTCCAACCATGTTCAGCAGCAACAAGATCTTCGCCGTGTGCATCGCTGTCGTGGTGTTATCCAGTGGCATACACGCTGAGAAGGAAGTCGCCGAGACGTTTGGCCGTTACCGCAACCATGGCTTGGGTGTGGTTGTTGGCGGCGGTGTCGGTGTTGGCGTAGGTGTCAACGGCGGTGTCAGATATGGTGCGCCGAGTTATGTCGGCTACGGCTACGGCTACCCTGCGGGTACGTCAACTGGCGGTGTCGGATATGGTGCGCCGAGTTATGTCGGCTACGGCTACCCTGCGGGTAGGTCAACTGGCGGTACAGCAGGTGCGTCGACTGGTGGTGCAGCGGCTGCGTCGGCAAGCGCCACAGCAAGTGCCTCTGCGAACGCTGGGGCTGGAAATGGAGCCACGTACCGCAAGCTTCGCTCGGCGGCGTAAACTGGTGGACTTGTATCGACCGAACTCGTCCGTCCTTCCAATTTGCCCTGTTAGCAGCATTGTAGTCCAATGCTCCTGTAGTGTACACTTTAAATGTAGCGAAAATAAAGGATCTGTTGTCCGATATGTGCTATCAGTTGTTGTACATCTAGCCTGCAACTTGTAGGTAGTAGGTATGCGTATGCGAGAATTACATTGCAACTTCAGTTTAGCTGAGATATAGAACTCATAAACCTATACATGATCGGGTTGCTCCAGTGGCAGACATGCAGGTCAAGCATGACCCTTGCAGCCGTGCCATTTCGTAACAGCCACATGAGCGAGGCGACACAATAACTTTGTTTCAGTATTGGTAATGACTGTGGAGGTCGTGTTTCATACGGTCATGTGTTTTGAAGTACTGCAATGTTTAGCGCCAAAGAACAATGAGCTACCAGGCGTCTATATGCAAAGGAACATGAATGTGGCTTGTGCGGGGCTCGTACAAGATGCCAACACAGGTCACGGTCAGGTTCGACACCTGATTCCGGTTCTCGCTATGACTTCAGAAAAAACCCAGCAAGACAGTGATTGCATATGAACATCTTGTTTGCCGCTCAAAGGATACTTCTTACAGAGGGTTGCTCTATAAAGGTTAGTGTGATCTGGTTGTACATTCTGATGCAGCGGTCTCTCTACCTTGGCTAGCTCAAGAGGCATGATCAAAAGTGGCTTTTGGTAAGACTATACGCAACATGAGGTGAACCGACGTATCATCATTGCAAGCAAGTGGTTGATGTAAATGGTCATCATCCATAAGTTTTAGCTGTCAGATGTTGACCTCTTCATAAAAAAATGGTCAACTATTGTGACCGGCTTGGACAGACTACTGTGTGTACTTCAGAACGATCGCGTCGAGTCACTTAAAGCCGAAACGAAACTTTGTACGACCTCTTGCGCGGACAGTATGGTAGTAGACTCTACATCATCTTAGCTATGAATTTGTTGCAAACATGCACAAACATGCACAAACAATAACAGACGGGTGACAGACGGGTGACAGACTTGTGACGGACTTATGAAACATAAAGCAATCGCTTACTGATTATAAAAGCCCAAATGCTCTCGTGATTAGTTCGATACACATACCGTTCTTACTTGAGCTATCACGACCGAGATACGACCGAAGTACGCGGTACGTGTATTACAATGCACACGGGTACCAGCAATGTTCGTTATCTGTGCTACATCTTGTATACTCCCCAAGTCAAAGAGACGTTTAGGTAAGATGGGTTGTCAAACAAACACAATTACATTACATTTCCATCGTTTGAATGCGTGTTGACCGCCGGATGAACAGCATTGCAAACACGTTGGTTTTAGAGATATCAGCAACTTCTTCTGTACAAGTATCGTATGAAAACTTGACATAGTGATAGGAGAGATCATCGTCCGTGTTGGCACTATACAGGGAACACATGTCCCATCCTGGGATAACCATTACCAGACATTTCAACCGGCTGGGCTTCTTCTCCGTCGACGTGCACATGGCGCGCGAGATTACCAAGTCAAACATGAGCCCAGGCGACACCTGCCACTGAGTGTTCATTCTCACATTTACGGCCTCGAGCTCCAATTACTCAAGTCCAACACGCAAGCTCTTTCGCTTTCTATCGGACCCAAGTCTCCAAATAGCACCTCCAACCATGTTCAGCAGCAACAAGATCTTCGCCGTGTGCATCGCCGTCGTGGTGTTATCCAGTGGCATACACGCTGAGAAGGAAGTCGCCGAGACGTTTGGCCGTTACCACAACCATGGCTTGGGTGTGGTTGTTGGCGGCGGTGTCGGTAGAGGTGTTGGTGTCGGTGTCAACGGCGGTGTCGGTGTTGGTGTCGGTGTCAACGGCGGTGTCGGTGGTGGTGTCGGTGTTGGCGGCGGTGTCGGCGGTGGAGTCGGCGTAGGTGTCAACGGCGGTGTCGGATATGGTGCGCCGAGTTATGTCGGCTACGGCTACCATGCGGGTACGTCAACTGGCGGTACAGCAGGTGCGTCGACTGGTGGTGCAGCGGCTGCGTCGGCAAGCGCCACAGCAAGTGCCTCTGCGAACGCTGGGGCTGGAAATGGAGCCACGTACCGCAAGCTTCGCTCGGCGGCGTAAACTGGTGGACTTGTATCGACCGAACTCGTCCGTCCTTCCAATTTGCCCTGTTAGCAGCATTGTAGTCCAATGCTCCTGTAGTGTACACTTTAAATGTAGCGAAAATAAAGGATCTGTTGTCCGATATGTGCTATCAGTTGTTGTACATCTAGCCTGCAACTTGTAGGTAGTAGGTATGCGTATGCGAGAATTACATTGCAACTTCAGTTTAGCTGAGATATAGAACTCATAAACCTATACATGATCGGGTTGCTCCAGTGGCAGACATGCAGGTCAAGCATGACCCTTGCAGCCGTGCCACTTCGTAACAGCCACATGAGCGAGGCGAAACAATAACTTTGTTTCAGTATTGGTAATGACTGTGGAGGTCGTGTTTCATACGGTCATGTGTTTTGAAGTACTGCAATGTTTAGCGCCAAAGAACAATGAGCTACCTGGCGTCTATATGCAAAGGAACATGAATGTGGCTTGTGCGGGGCTCGTACAAGATGCCAACACAGGTCACGGTCAGGTTCGACACCTGATTCCGGTTCTCGCTATGACTTCAGAAAAAACCCAGCAAGACAGTGATTGCATATAAACATCTTGTTTGCCGCTCAAAGGATACTTCTTACAGAGGGTTGCTCTATAAAGGTTAGTGTGATCTGGTTGTACATTCTGATGCAGCGGTCTCTCTACCTTGGCTAGCTCAAGAGGCATGATCAAAAGTGGCTTTTGGTAAGACTATACGCAACATGAGGTGAACCGACGTATCATCATTGCAAGCAAGTGGTTGATGTAAATGGTCATCATCCATAAGTTTTAGCTGTCAGATGTTGACCTCTTCATAAAAAAATGGTCAACTATTGTGACCGGCTTGGACAGACTACTGTGTGTACTTCAGAACGATCGCGTCGAGTCACTTAAAGCCGGAACGAAACTTTGTACGACCTCTTGCGCGGACAGTATGGTAGTAGACTCTACATCATCTTAGCTATGAATTTGTTGTAAACATGCACAAACATGCACAAACAATAACAGACGGGTGACAGACGGGTGACAGACTTGTGACGGACTTATGAAACATAAAGCAATCGCTTACTGATTATAAAAGCCCAAATGCTCTCGTGATTAGTTCGATACACATACCGTTCTTACTTGAGCTATCATGGCCGAGGTACGACCGAAGTACGCGGTACGTGTATTACAATGCACACGGGCACCAGCAATGTTCGTTATCTGTGCTACATCTTGTATACTCCCCAAGTCAAAGAGACGTTTAGGTAAGATGGGTTGTCAAACAAACACAATTACATTACATTTCCATCGTTTGAATGCGTGTTGACCGCCGAATGAACAGCATTGCAAACACGTTGGTTTTAGAGATATCAGCAACTTCTTCTGTACAAGTATCGTATAAAACTTGACATAGTGATAGGAGAGATCATCGTCCGTGTTGGCACTATACAGGGAACACATGTCCCATCCTGGGATAACCATTACCAGACATTTCAACCGGCTGGGCTTCTTCTCCGTCGACGTGCACATGGCGCGCGAGATTACCAAGTCAAACATGAGCCCAGGCGACACCTGCCACTGAGTGTTCATTCTCACATTTACGGCCTCGAGCTCCAATTACTCAAGTCCAACACGCAAGCTCTTTCGCTTTCTATCGGACCCAAGTCTCCAAATAGCACCTCCAACCATGTTCAGCAGCAACAAGATCTTCGCCGTGTGCATCGCCGTCGTGGTGTTATCCAGTGGCATACACGCTGAGAAGGAAGTCGCCGAGACGTTTGGCCGTTACCACAACCATGGCTTGGGTGTGGTTGTTGGCGGCGGTGTCGGTGGAGGTGTTGGTGTCGGTGTCAACGGCGGTGTCGGTGTTGGTGTCGGTGTCAACGGCGGTGTCGGTGGTGGTGTCGGTGTTGGGGGGGGTGGGGGGGGGGGGGGGGGGGGTGGGGGGTGTGGGTGGTGGGGTTTTACGTCAACTGGCGGTACAGCAGGTGCGTCGACTGGTGGTGCAGCGGCTGCGTCGGCAAGCGCCACAGCAAGTGCCTCTGCGAACGCTGGGGCTGGAAATGGAGCCACGTACCGCAAGCTTCGCTCGGCGGCGTAAACTGGTGGACTTGTATCGACCGAACTCGTCCGTCCTTCCAATTTGCCCTGTTAGCAGCATTGTAGTCCAATGCTCCTGTAGTGTACACTTTAAATGTAGCGAAAATAAAGGATCTGTTGTCCGATATGTGCTATCAGTTTTTGTACATCTAGCCTGCAACTTGTAGGTAGTAGGTATGCGTATGCGAGAATTACATTGCAACTTCAGTTTAGCTGAGATATAGAACTCATAAACCTATACATGATCGGGTTGCTCCAGTGGCAGACATGCAGGTCAAGCATGACCCTTGCAGCCGTGCCACTTCGTAACAGCCACATGAGCGAGGCGAAACAATAACTTTGTTTCAGTATTGGTAATGACTGTGGAGGTCGTGTTTCATACGGTCATGTGTTTTGAAGTACTGCAATGTTTAGCGCCAAAGAACAATGAGCTACCAGGCGTCTATATGCAAAGGAACATGAATGTGGCTTGTGCGGGGCTCGTACAAGATGCCAACACAGGTCACGGTCAGGTTCGACACCTGATTCCGGTTCTCGCTATGACTTCAGAAAAAACCCAGCAAGACAGTGATTGCATATGAACATCTTGTTTGCCGCTCAAAGGATACTTCTTACAGAGGGTTGCTCTATAAAGGTTAGTGTGATCTGGTTGTACATTCTGATGCAGCGGTCTCTCTACCTTGGCTAGCTCAAGAGGCATGATCAAAAGTGGCTTTTGGTAAGACTATACGCAACATGAGGTGAACCGACGTATCATCATTGCAAGCAAGTGGTTGATGTAAATGGTCATCATCCATAAGTTTTAGCTGTCAGATGTTGACCTCTTCATAAAAAAATGGTCAACTATTGTGACCGGCTTGGACAGACTACTGTGTGTACTTCAGAACGATCGCGTCGAGTCACTTGAAGCCGGAACGAAACTTTGTACGACCTCTTGCGCGGACAGTATGGTAGTAGACTCTACATCATCTTAGCTATGAATTTGATGCAAACATGCACAAACATGCACAAACAATAACAGACGGGTGACAGACGGGTGATAGACTTGTGACGGACTTATGAAACATAAAGCAATCGCTTACTGATTATAAAAGCCCAAATGCTCTCGTGATTAGTTCGATACACATACCGTTCTTACTTGAGCTATCATGGCCGAGGTACGACCGAAGTACGCGGTACGTGTATTACAATGCACACGGGTACCAGCAATGTTCGTTATCTGTGCTACATCTTGTATACTCCCCAAGTCAAAGAGACGTTTAGGAAAGATGGGTTGTCAAACAAACAAACACAATTACATTACATTTCCATCGTTTGAATGCGTGTTGACCGCCGAATGAACAGCATTGCAAACACGTTGGTTTTAGAGATATCAGCAACTTCTTCTGTACAAGTATCGTATAAAACTTGACATAGTGATAGGAGAGATCATCGTCCGTGTTGGCACTATACAGGGAACACATGTCCCATCCTGGGATAACCATTACCAGACATTTCAACCGGCTGGGCTTCTTCTCCGTCGACGTGCACATGGCGCGCGAGATTACCAAGTCAAACATGAGCCCAGGCGACACCTGCCACTGAGTGTTCATTCTCACATTTACGGCCTCGAGCTCCAATTACTCAAGTCCAACACGCAAGCTCTTTCGCTTTCTATCGGACCCAAGTCTCCAAATAGCACCTCCAATCATGTTCAGCAGCAACAAGATCTTCGCCGTGTGCATCGCCGTCGTGGTGTTATCCAGTGGCATACACGCTGAGAAGGAAGTCGCCGAGACGTTTGGCCGTTACCACAACCATGGCTTGGGTGTGGTTGTTGGCGGCGGTGTCGGTGGAGGTGTTGGTGTCGGTGTCAACGGCGGTGTCGGTGTTGGTGTCGGTGTCAACGGCGGTGTCGGTGGTGGTGTCGGTGTTGGCGGCGGTGTCGGCGGTGGAGTCGGCGTAGGTGTCAACGGCGGTGTCGGATATGGTGCGCCGAGTTATGTCGGCTACGGCTACCCTGCGGGTACGTCAACTGGCGGTACAGCAGGTGCGTCGACTGGTGGTGCAGCGGCTGCGTCGGCAAGCGCCACAGCAAGTGCCTCTGCGAACGCTGGGGCTGGAAATGGAGCCACGTACCGCAAGCTTCGCTCGGCGGCGTAAACTGGTGGACTTGTATCGACCGAACTCTTCCGTCCTTCCAATTTGCCCTGGTAGCAGCCAGCACCTGTAGTCCAATGCTCCTGTAGTGTACACTTTAAATGTAACGAAAATAAAGGATCTGTTGTCCGACATGTGCTATCAGTTGTTGTACATCTATCCTGCAACTTGTAGGTAGTCGGTATGCGTATGCGAGAATTACATTGCAACTTCAGCTTAGCCGAGAAATAGTACTCATAAACCTATACAATGATCGGGTCGCTCCAGTGGCAGACATGCAAATCAAGCATGACCCTTGCAGCCGTGCCACTTCGTAACAGCCATCACAGCGAGACAAGACAAAAACTTTGTTTCAGTGTTGAGGATGACTCGTAGTAACAGACCGTCTATTTCAAATATTAAGGATTGGTAAGATGTCTGGAGTGCTTCTACCAGGACTTCGTCATTCTTCGCCTCGCTGGCTCAATCTGCTGGCTCGAGACGTCGGGCGTCACGGGGGACACTCCGAAAAGGGCACGTGGAATCGGTTATCCAGCCCAAGGTGTAAACAGTGGCTCAATGATCGCAACAAGCGCCGGGCACCACACCGATCAGTCCCGATCGACCGCTGATGCACCTGGACGGGGCCGATCAATTCACGTTCTTGGCAAGTTTGCTTCGTGGGACCGGGACTCGCGCTCGGCGATCGAGTCGGCGGCTTGAAGGCTGACGTAGAATAGCAGGAATTATCGGGGAAGAAAGGAATGATAACCGCGGTCGTCGTTCCTCTCCCCCCGGGGTGACAGGGTTGGTGCTCCCCTTACGGTTCGCAACGCTGCGCTTGCCATTGAGGATGACTCGTGCTACATACGGTCATATGTTTTAGAGTACTGCAATCTTCAGCGCCAAGTAAAAAGGAGCTACCAGGCGTCTATATGCAAAGGAACATGAATGTGGCTTGTGCGGGGCTCGTACAAGATGCCAACACAGTTTATTAATCAATATATTTTACAAATTGGTTAGATCACGGTCAGGTTCGACACCTGATTCCGGTTCTCGCTATGACTTCAGAAAAAACCCAGCAAGACAGTGATTGCATATAAACATCTTGTTTGCCGCTCAAAGGATACTTCTTACAGAGGGTTGCTCTATAAAGGTTAGTGTGATCTGGTTGTACATTCTGATGCAGCGGTCTCTCTACCTTGGCTAGCTCAAGAGGCATGATCAAAAGTGGCTTTTGGTAAGACTATACGCAACATGAGGTGAACCGACGTATCATCATTGCAAGCAAGTGGTTGATGTAAATGGTCATCATCCATAAGTTTTAGCTGTCAGATGTTGACCTCTTCATAAAAAAATGGTCAACTATTGTGACCGGCTTGGACAGACTACTGTGTGTACTTCAGAACGATCGCGTCGAGTCACTTAAAGCCGGAACGAAACTTTGTACGACCTCTTGCGCGGACAGTATGGTAGTAGACTCTACATCATCTTAGCTATGAATTTGATGCAAACATGCACAAACATGCACAAACAATAACAGACGGGTGACAGACGGGTGACAGACTTGTGACGGACTTATGAAACATAAAGCAATCGCTTACTGATTATAAAAGCCCAAATGCTCTCGTGATTAGTTCGATACACATACCGTTCTTACTTGAGCTATCATGGCCGAGGTACGACCGAAGTACGCGGTACGTGTATTACAATGCACACGGGTACCAGCAATGTTCGTTATCTGTGCTACATCTTGTATACTCCCCAAGTCAAAGAGACGTTTAGGTAAGATGGGTTGTCAAACAAACACAATTACATTACATTTCCATCGTTTGAATGCGTGTTGACCGCCGAATGAACAGCATTGCAAACACGTTGGTTTTAGAGATATCAGCAACTTCTTCTGTACAAGTATCGTATGAAAACTTGACATAGTGATAGGAGAGATCATCGTCCGCGTTGGCACTATACAGGGAACACATGTCCCATCCTGGGATAACCATTACCAGACATTTCAACCGGCTGGGCTTCTTCTCCGTCGACGTGCACATGGCGCGCGAGATTACCAAGTCAAACATGAGCACAGTCGACACCTGCCACTGAGTGTTCATTCTCACATTTACGGCCTCGAGCTCCAATTACTCAAGTCCAACACGCAAGCTCTTTCGCTTTCTATCGGACCCAAGTCTCCAAATAGCACCTCCAACCATGTTCAGCAGCAACAAGATCTTCGCCGTGTGCATCGCTGTCGTGGTGTTATCCAATGGCGTACACGCTGAGAAGGAAGTCGCCGAGACGCTGGACCATGGATTGGACGTCAACGCAGGTGTCGGTGTCGGCGGAGGTGTCGGCGGAGGTGTCGGCGGAGGTGTCGGCGGCAGTGTTGGTATCAACGGCGGAGTTGGCGGCGGTGTCGGTGCTGGCGCCGGTGTAGGTGGCGTTGTCGGTGTCAAGAGCAGTGTCGGCGGCAGTGTTGGTGTCAACGGCGGAGTTGGCGGCGGTGTCGGTGCTGGCACCGGTGTAGGTGGCGTTGCCGGTGTCAATAGCAGTGTCGGCGGCAGTGTTGGTGTCAACGGCGGAGTTGACGGCGGTGTCGGTGCTGGCACCGGTGTAGGTGGCGTTGCCGGTGTCAAGAGCAGTGTCGGTGTTGGCGGAGGTGTTGGCGGAGGTGTCGGCGGCAGTGTTGGTGTCAACGGCGGAGTTGGCGGCGGTGTCGGTGCTGGCACCGGTGTAGGTGGCGTTGTTGGTGTCAAGAGCAGTGTCGGTGTTGGCGGAGGTGTCGGCGGCAGTGAAGGTGTCAACGGCGGAGTTGGCGGCGGTGTCGTTGCTGGCACCGGTGTAGGTGGCGTTGTTGGTGTCAAGAGCAGTGTCGGTGTTGGCGGAGGTGTCAGAGGCGGTGTCGGTGTTGGCGGAGGTGTCGGTGTCGGCGGTGGTGTAAGTGGCGGTGTCGGCGGTGGTGTTGGCGTCGGTGTCGGCGGCGGTGTCAGAGGCGGTGTTGGTGTGAACACCGGTGTCGACGGTGGTGTCGGCGGTGGTGTCAGAGGCAGTGTTGGTGTAAACACCGGTGTCAACGGTGGTGTCGGCGGTGGTGTCGGTGTTGGTGTCGGTGTCGGCGGGGGTGTCAGAGGCGGTGTCGGTGTTGGCGGAGGTGTCGGTGTCGGCGGTGGTGTAAGTGGCGGTGTTGGCGGTGGTGTTGGCGTCGGTGTCGACGGGGGGCGGTGTCAGAGGCGGTGTTGGTGTAAACACCGATGTCAACGGTGGTATCGGTGGTGGTGTTGGCGTCGGTGTCGGCGGGGGTGTCAGAGGCGGTGTCGGTGTTGGCGGAGGTGTCGGTGTCAGAGGTGGTGTCGGTGTTGGCGGAGGTGTCGGTGTTGGCGGTGGTGTAAGTGGCGGTGTCGGCGGTGGTGTTGGCGTCGGTGTCGGCGGCGGTGTCAGAGGCGGTGTCGGTGTTGGCGGAGGTGTCGGTGTTGGCGGTGGTGTAAGTGGTGGTGTCGGCAATGGTGTTGGCGTCGGTGTCGGCGGCGGTGTCAGAGGCGGTGTTGGTGTAAACACCGGTGTCAACGGTGGTATCGGTGGTGGTGTTGGCGTCGGTGTCGGCGGGGGTGTCAGGGGCGGTGTCGGTGTTGGCGGAGGTGTCGGTGTTGGCGGAGGTGTCGGTGTTGGCGGTGGTGTAAGTGGCGGTGTCGGTGTCAATGGTGGTGTCGGTGTTGGCGTCGGTGTCGGTGTGGGCGGCGGTGTCAGAGGTGGTGTCGGTGTTGGCGGAGGTGTCGGTGTTGGCGGAGGTGTCGGTGTTGGCGGTGGTGTAAGTGGTGGTGTCGGCGGTGGTGTTGGCGTCGGTGTCGGCGGCGGTGTCAGAGGCGGTGTTGGTGTAAACACCGGTGTCAACGGTGGTATCGGTGGTGGTGTTGGCGTCGGTGTCGGCGGGGGTGTCAGAGGCGGTGTCGGTGTTGGCGGGGGTGTCGGTGTCGGCGGCGGTGTCAGAGGTGGTGTCGGTGTTGGCGGAGGTGTCGGTGTTGGCGGTGGTGTAAGTGGCGGTGTCGGCGGTGGTGTTGGCGTCGGTGTCGGCGGCGGTGTCAGAGGCGGTGTTGGTGTAAACACCGGTGTCAACGGTGGTATCGGTGGTGGTGTTGGCGTCGGTGTCGGTGTTGGCGGAGGTGTCGGTGTTGGCGGTGGTGTAAGTGGCGGTGTCGGTGTCAATGGTGGTGTCGGTGTTGGCGGGGGTGTCGGTGTTGGCGGGGGTGTGGGCGGGCGGGGTGGTGTTGGCGTCGGTGTCGGCGGCGGTGTCAGAGGCGGTGTGGGAAAACGGTGTCAACGGTGGTATCGGTGGTGGTGTGGCGCGGTGTCGGTGTTGGCGGAGGTGTCGGTGTTGGCGGTGGTGTAAGTGGCGGTGTCGGCGGTGGTGTTGGCGTCGGTGTCGGCGGGGGTGTCGGTGTTGGCGGGGTGTCGGTGTGCGGGGTGTCGGGGGTGCGGGGTTGGCGGGGTGTCGGTGTTGGCGGTGTGTGTGCGTGTCGCGGTGGTGTTGGCGTCGGTGTCGCGCGTGTCAGAGGCGGTGTTGGTGTAAACACCGGTGTCAACGGTGGTATCGGTGGTGGTGTTGGCGTCGGTGTCGGCGGGGGTGTCAGGGGCGGTGTCGGTGTTGGCGGAGGTGTCGGTGTTGGCGGAGGTGTCGGTGTTGGCGGTGGTGTAAGTGGCGGTGTCGGTGTTGGTGGCGGTGTCGGATATCGTGCGTCGAATTAGTTAGCCACGCTATCGTGTGGTTCGTCAACTGGCGGCACAGCAGGTGCGTCGACTGGTGGTGCAGCGGCTGCGTCGACTGGTGGTGCAGCGGCTGCGTCGGCAAGCGCCACAGCGAGTGCTTCTGCGAACACTAGAGCTGGAGATGGAGCCGCGTACCGCAAGCTTCGCTCGGCGGCGTAAACTGGTGGACTTGTATCGACCGAACTCTTCCGTCCTTCCAATTTGCCCTGGTAGCAGCCAGCACCTGTAGTCCAATGCTCCTGTAGTGTACACTTTAAATGTAACGAAAATAAAGGATCTGTTGTCCGACATGTGCTATCAGTTGTTGTACATCTATCCTGCAACTTGTAGGTAGTCGGTATGCGTATGCGAGAATTACATTGCAACTTCAGCTTAGCCGAGAAATAGTACTCATAAACCTATACAATGATCGGGTCGCTCCAGTGGCAGACATGCAAATCAAGCATGACCCTTGCAGCCGTGCCACTTCGTAACAGCCATCACAGCGAGACAAGACAATAACTTTGTTTCAGTGTTGAGGATGACTCGTAGTAACAGACCGTCTATTTCAAATATTAAGGATTGGTAAGATGTCTGGAGTGCTTCTACCAGGACTTCGTCATTCTTCGCCTCGCTGGCTCAATCTGCTGGCTCGAGACGTCGGGCGTCACGGGGGACACTCCGAAAAGGGCACGTGGAATCGGTTATCCAGCCCAAGGTGTAAACAGTGGCTCAATGATCGCAACAAGCGCCGGGCACCACACCGATCAGTCCCGATCGACCGCTGATGCACCTGGACGGGGCCGATCAATTCACGTTCTTGGCAAGTTTGCTTCGTGGGACCGGGACTCGCGCTCGGCGATCGAGTCGGCGGCTTGAAGGCTGACGTAGAATAGCAGGAATTATCGGGGAAGAAAGGAATGATAACCGCGGTCGTCGTTCCTCTCCCCCCGGGGTGACAGGGTTGGTGCTCCCCTTACGGTTCGCACGCTGCGCTTGCCATTGAGGATGACTCGTGCTACATACGGTCATATGTTTTAGAGTACTGCAATCTTCAGCGCCAAGTAAAAAGGAGCTACCAGGCGTCTATATGCAAAGGAACATGAATGTGGCTTGTGCGGGGCTCGTACAAGATGCCAACACAGTTTATTAATCAATATATTTTACAAATTGGTTAGATCACGGTCAGGTTCGACACCTGATTCCGGTTCTCGCTATGACTTCAGAAAAAACCCAGCAAGACAGTGATTGCATATAAACATCTTGTTTGCCGCTCAAAGGATACTTCATACAGAGGGTTGCTCTATAAAGGTTAGTGTGATCTGGTTGTACATTCTGATGCAGCGGTCTCTCTACCTTGGCTAGCTCAAGAGGCATGATCAAAAGTGGCTTTTGGTAAGACTATACGCAACATGAGGTGAACCGACGTATCATCATTGCAAGCAAGTGGTTGATGTAAATGGTCATCATCCATAAGTTTTAGCTGTCAGATGTTGACCTCTTCATAAAAAAATGGTCAACTATTGTGACCGGCTTGGACAGACTACTGTGTGTACTTCAGAACGATCGCGTCGAGTCACTTAAAGCCGGAACGAAACTTTGTACGACCTCTTGCGCGGACAGTATGGTAGTAGACTCTACATCATCTTAGCTATAAATTTGTTGCAAACATGCACAAACATGCACAAACAATAACAGACGGGTGACAGACTTGTGACGGACTTATGAAACATAAAGCAATCGCTTACTGTTTGTAAAGTCCAAATGCTCTCGTGATTAGTTCGATACACATACCGTTCTTACTTGAGCTATCATGGCCGAGGTACGACCGAAGTACGCGGTACGTGTATTACAATGCACACGGGTACCAGCAATGTTCGTTATCTGTGCTACATCTTGTATACTCCCCAAGTCAAAGAGACGTTTAGGTAAGATGGGTTGTCAAACAAACACAATTACATTACATTTCCATCGTTTGAATGCGTGTTGACCGCCGAATGAACAGCATTGCAAACACGTTGGTTTTAGAGATATCAGCAACTTCTTCTGTACAAGTATCGTATGAATACTTGACATAGTGATAGGAGAGATCATCGTCCGTGTTGGCTCTATACAGGGAACATACGTCCCATCCTGGGATAACCATTACCAGACATTTCAACTGGCTGGGCTTCTTCTCCGTCGACGTACACATGGCGCGCGAGATTACCAAGTCAAACATGAGCACAGTCGACACGCTTCCACTGAGTGTTCATTCTCACATTTACGGCCTCGAGCTCCAATTACTCAAGTCCAACACGCAAGCTCTTTCGCTTTCTATCGGACCCAAGTCTCCAAATAGCACCTCCAACCATGTTCAGCAGCAACAAGATCTTCGCCGTGTGCATCGCCGTCGTGGTGTTATCCAGTGGCATACACGCTGAGAAGGAAGTCGCCGAGACGTTTGGCCGTTACCACAACCATGGCTTGGGTGTGGTTGTTGGCGGCGGTGTCGGTGGAGGTGTTGGTGTCAGAGGCGGTGTCGGTGTTGGCGGAGGTGTCGGTGTTGGCGGTGGTGTTGGCGTCGGTGTCGGCGGCGGTGTCAGAGGCGGTGTTGGTGTAAACACCGGTGTCAACGGTGGTATCGGTGGTGGTGTTGGCGTCGGTGTCGGCGGGGGTGTCAGAGGCGGTGTCGGTGTTGGCGGAGGTGTCGGTGTTGGCGGAGGTGTCGGTGTTGGCGGTGGTGTAAGTGGCGGTGTCGGTGTCAATGGTGGTGTCGGTGTTGGCGGGGGTGTCGGTGTCGGCGGCGGTGTCAGAGGCGGTGTCGGTGTTGGCGGAGGTGTCGGTGTTGGCGGTGGTGTAAGTGGCGGTGTCGGCGGTGGTGTTGGCGTCGGTGTCGGCGGCGGTGTCAGAGGCGGTATTGGTGTAAACACCGGTGTCAACGGTGGTATCGGTGGTGGTGTTGGCGTCGGTGTCGGCGGGGGTGTCAGAGGCGGTGTCGGTGTTGGCGGGGGTGTCGGTGTCGGCGGCGGTGTCAGAGGTGGTGTCGGTGTTGGCGGAGGTGTCGGTGTTGGCGGAGGTGTCGGTGTTGGCGGTGGTGTAAGTGGCGGTGTCGGCGGTGGTGTTGGCGTCGGTGTCGGCGGCGGTGTCAGAGGCGGTGTTGGTGTAAACACCGGTGTCAACGGTGGTATCGGTGGTGGTGTTGGCGTCGGTGTCGGCGGGGGTGTCAGAGGCGGTGTCGGTGTTGGCGGTGGTGTAAGTGGCGGTGTCGGTGTCAATGGTGGTGTCGGTGTTGGCGGGGGTGTCGGTGTTGGCGGTGGTGTAAGTGGCGGTGTCGGCGGTGGTGTTGGCGTCGGTGTCGGCGGCGGTGTCAGAGGCGGTGTTGGTGTAAACACCGGTGTCAACGGTGGTATCGGTGGTGGTGTTGGCGTCGGTGTCGGTGTTGGCGGAGGTGTCGGTGTTGGCGGTGGTGTAAGTGGCGGTGTCGGTGTCAATGGTGGTGTCGGTGTCGGCGGCGGTGTCAGAGGCGGTGTTGGTGTAAACACCGGTGTCAACGTTGGTATCGGTGGTGGTGTTGGCGTCGGTGTCGGCAGGGGTGTCAGAGGCGGTGTCGGTGTTGGCGGAGGTGTCGGTGTTGGCGGTGGTGTAAGTGGAGGTGTCGGTGTCAATGGTGGTGCCGGTGTTGGCGTCGGTGTCGGTGTCGGCGGGGGTGTCAGAGGCGGTGTCGGTGTTGGCGGAGGAGTCGGTGTTGGCGGTGGTGTAAGTGGCGGTGTCGGTGTCAATGGTGGTGTCGGTGTTGGCGTCGGTGTCGGTGTCGGCGGCGGTGTCAGAGGTGGTGTCGGTGTTGGCGGAGGTGTCGGTGTTGGTGGCGGGGTCGGCGGTGGTGTAAGTGGCGGTGTCGGCGGTGGTATTGGCGTCGGTGTCGGCGGCGGTGTCAGAGGCGGTGTTGGTGTAAACACCGGTGTCAACGGTGGTATCGGTGGTGGTGTTGGCGTCGGTGTCGGTGTTGGCGGAGGTGTCGGTGTTGGCGGTGGTGTAAGTGGCGGTGTTGGTGTAAACACCGGTGTCAACGGTGGTATCGGTGGTGGTGTTGGCGTCGGTGTCGGTGTTGGCGGAGGTGTCGGTGTTGGCGGTGGTGTAAGTGGCGGTGTCGGTGTCAATGGTGGTGTCGGTGTTGGCGGGGGTGTCGGTGTTGGCGGGGGTGTCGGTGTCGGCGGCGGTGTCAGAGGCGGTGTCGGTGTTGGCGGAGGTGTCGGTGTTGGCGGTGGTGTAAGTGGCGGTGTCGGCGGTGGTGTTGGCGTCGGTGTCGGTGTCAGAGGCGGTGTTGGTGTTGGCGGAGGTGTCGGTGTTGGCGGAGGTGTCGGTGTTGGTGGCGGGGTCGGATATCGTGCGTCGAATTAGTTAGCCACGCTATCGTGTGGTTCGTCAACTGGCGGCACAGCAGGTGCGTCGACTGGTGGTGCAGCGGCTGCGTCGACTGGTGGTGCAGCGGCTGCGTCGGCAAGCGCCACAGCGAGTGCTTCTGCGAACACTAGAGCTGGAGATGGAGCCACGTACCGCAAGCTTCGCTCGGCGGCGTAAACTGGTGGACTTGTATCGACCGAACTCTTCCGTCCTTCCAATTTGCCCTGGTAGCAGCCAGCACCTGTAGTCCAATGCTCCTGTAGTGTACACTTTAAATGTAACAAAAATAAAGGATCTGTTGTCCGACATGTGCTATCAGTTGTTGTACATCTATCCTGCAACTTGTAGGTAGTCGGTATGCGTATGCGAGAATTACATTGCAACTTCAGCTTAGCCGAGAAATAGTACTCATAAACCTATACAATGATCGGGTCGCTCCAGTGGCAGACATGCAAATCAAGCATGACCCTTGCAGCCGTGCCACTTCGTAACAGCCATCACAGCGAGACAAGACAATAACTTTGTTTCAGTGTTGAGGATGACTCGTAGTAACAGACCGTCTATTTCAAATATTAAGGATTGGTAAGATGTCTGGAGTGCTTCTACCAGGACTTCGTCATTCTTCGCCTCGCTGGCTCAATCTGCTGGCTCGAGACGTCGGGCGTCACGGGGGACACTCCGAAAAGGGCACGTGGAATCGGTTATCCAGCCCAAGGTGTAAACAGTGGCTCAATGATCGCAACAAGCGCCGGGCACCACACCGATCAGTCCCGATCGACCGCTGATGCACCTGGACGGGGCCGATCAATTCACGTTCTTGGCAAGTTTGCTTCGTGGGACCGGGACTCGCGCTCGGCGATCGAGTCGGCGGCTTGAAGGCTGACGTAGAATAGCAGGAATTATCGGGGAAGAAAGGAATGATAACCGCGGTCGTCGTTCCTCTCCCCCCGGGGTGACAGGGTTGGTGCTCCCCTTACGGTTCGCACGCTGCGCTTGCCATTGAGGATGACTCGTGCTACATACGGTCATATGTTTTAGAGTACTGCAATCTTCAGCGCCAAGTAAAAAGGAGCTACCAGGCGTCTATATGCAAAGGAACATGAATGTGGCTTGTGCGGGGCTCGTACAAGATGCCAACACAGTTTATTAATCAATATATTTTACAAATTGGTTAGATCACGGTCAGGTTCGACACCTGATCCGGTTCTCGCTATGACTTCAGAAAAAACCCAGCAAGACAGTGATTGCATATAAACATCTTGTTTGCCGCTCAAAGGATACTTCATACAGAGGGTTGCTCTATAAAGGTTAGTGTGATCTGGTTGTACATTCTGATGCAGCGGTCTCTCTACCTTGGCTAGCTCAAGAGGCATGATCAAAAGTGGCTTTTGGTAAGACTATACGCAACATGAGGTGAACCGACGTATCATCATTGCAAGCAAGTGGTTGATGTAAATGGTCATCATCCATAAGTTTTAGCTGTCAGATGTTGACCTCTTCATAAAAAAATGGTCAACTATTGTGACCGGCTTGGACAGACTACTGTGTGTACTTCAGAACGATCGCGTCGAGTCACTTAAAGCCGGAACGAAACTTTGTACGACCTTTTGCGCGGACAGTATGGTAGTAGACTCTACATCATCTTAGCTATGAATTTGTTGCAAACATGCACAAACATGCACAAACAATAACAGACGGGTGACAGACGGGTGACAGACTTGTGACGGACTTATGAAACATAAAGCAATCGCTTACTGATTATAAAAGCCCAAATGCTCTCGTGATTAGTTCGATACACATACCGTTCTTACTTGAGCTATCATGGCCGAGGTACGACCGAAGTACGCGGTACGTGTATTACAATGCACACGGGCACCAGCAATGTTCGTTATCTGTGCTACATCTTGTATACTCCCCAAGTCAAAGAGACGTTTAGGTAAGATGGGTTGTCAAACAAACACAATTACATTACATTTCCATCGTTTGAATGCGTGTTGACCGCCGGATGAACAGCATTGCAAACACGTTGGTTTTAGAGATATCAGCAACTTCTTCTGTACAAGTATCGTATGAAACTTGACATAGTGATAGGAGAGATCATCGTCCGTGTTGGCACTATACAGGGAACATACGTCCCATCCTGGGATAACCATTACCAGACATTTCAACCGGCTGGGCTTCTTCTCCGTCGACGTGCACATGGTGCGCGAGATTACCAAGTCAAACATGAGCACAGTCGACACGCTGCCACTGAGTGTTCATTCTCACATTTACGGCCTCGAGCTCCAATTACTCAAGTCCAACACGCAAGCTCTTTCGCTTTCTATCGGACCCAAGTCTCCAAATAGCACCTCCAACCATGTTCAGCAGCAACAAGATCTTCGCCGTGTGCATCGCCGTCGTGGTGTTATCCAGTGGCATACACGCTGAGAAGGAAGTCGCCGAGACGTTTGGCCGTTACCACAACCATGGCTTGGGTGTGGTTGTTGGCGGCGGTGTCGGTGGAGGTGTTGGTGTCAGAGGCGGTGTCGGTGTTGGCGGAGGTGTCGGTGTTGGCGGTGGTGTTGGCGTCGGTGTCGGCGGCGGTGTCAGAGGCGGTGTTGGTGTAAACACCGGTGTCAACGGTGGTATCGGTGGTGGTGTTGGCGTCGGTGTCGGGTGTTGGCGGAGGTGTCGGTGTTGGCGGTGGTGTAAGTGGCGGTGTCGGTGTCAATAGTGGTGTCGGTGTTGGCGGGGGTGTCGGTGTTGGCGGGGGTGTCGGTGTCGGCGGCGGTGTCAGAGGCGGTGTCGGTGTTGGCGGAGGTGTCGGTGTTGGCGGTGGTGTAAGTGGCGGTGTCGGCGGTGGTGTTGGCGTCGGTGTCGGCGGCGGTGTCAGAGGCGGTGTTGGTGTAAACACCGGTGTCAACGGTGGTATCGGTGGTGGTGTTGGCGTCGGTGTCGGCGGGGGTGTCAGAGGCGGTGTCGGTGTTGGCGGGGGTGTCGGTGTCGGCGGCGGTGTCAGAGGTGGTGTCGGTGTTGGCGGAGGTGTCGGTGTTGGCGGTGGTGTAAGTGGCGGTGTCGGCGGTGGTGTTGGCGTCGGTGTCGGCGGCGGTGTCAGAGGCGGTGTTGGTGTAAACACCGGTGTCAACGGTGGTATCGGTGGTGGTGTTGGCGTCGGTGTCGGTGTTGGCGGAGGTGTCGGTGTTGGCGGTGGTGCAAGTGGCGGTGTCGGTGTCAATGGTGGTGTCGGTGTTGGCGGAGGTGTCGGTGTTGGCGGTGGTGTAAGTGGCGGTGTCGGCGGTGGTGTTGGCGGTCGGTGTCGGCGGAGGTGTCGGTGTTGGCGGTGGTGTAAGTGGCGGTGTCGGCGGTGGTGTTGGCGTCGGTGTCGGCGGCGGTGTCAGAGGCGGTGTTGGTGTAAACACCGGTGTCAACGGTGGTATCGGTGGTGGTGTTGGCGTCGGTGTCGGCGGGGGTGTCAGAGGCGGTGTCGGTGTTGGCGGGGGTGTAAGTGGCGGTGTCGGTGTCAATAGTGGTGTCGGTGTCAATAGTGGTGTCGGTGTTGGCGGGGGTGTCGGTGTTGGCGGGGGTGTCGGTGTCGGCGGCGGTGTCAGAGGCGGTGTCGGTGTTGGCGGAGGTGTCGGTGTTGGCGGTGGTGTAAGTGGCGGTGTCGGCGGTGGTGTTGGCGTCGGTGTCGGCGGCGGTGTCAGAGGCGGTGTCGGTGTTGGCGGAGGTGTCGGTGTTGGTGGCGGGGTCGGCGGTGGTGTAAGTGGCGGTGTCGGCGGTGGTGTTGGCGTCGGTGTCGGCGGCGGTGTTGGCGTCGGTGTCGGCGGCGGTGTCAGAGGCGGTGTTGGTGTAAACACCGGTGTCAACGGTGGTATCGGTGGTGGTGTTGGCGTCGGTGTCGGTGTTGGCGGAGGTGTCGGTATTGGCGGTGGTGTAAGTGGCGGTGTCGGTGTCAATGGTGGTGTCGGTGTTGGCGGGGGTGTCGGTGTTGGTGGAGGTGTCGGTGTTGGTGGCGGGGTCGGATATCGTGCGTCGAATTAGTTAGCCACGCTATCGTGTGGTTCGTCAACTGGCGGCACAGCAGGTGCGTCGACTGGTGGTGCAGCGGCTGCGTCGACTGGTGGTGCAGCGGCTGCGTCGACTGGTGGTGCAGCGGCTGCGTCGGCAAGCGCCACAGCGAGTGCTTCTGCGAACACTAGAGCTGGAGATGGAGCCGCGTACCGCAAGCTTCGCTCGGCGGCGTAAACTGGTGGACTTGTATCGACCGAACTCTTCCGTCCTTCCAATTTGCCCTGGTAGCAGCCAGCACCTGTAGTCCAATGCTCCTGTAGTGTACACTTTAAATGTAACGAAAATAAAGGATCTGTTGTCCGACATGTGCTATCAGTTGTTGTACATCTATCCTGCAACTTGTAGGTAGTCGGTATGCGTATGCGAGAATTACATTGCAACTTCAGCTTAGCCGAGAAATAGTACTCATAAACCTATACAATGATCGGGTCGCTCCAGTGGCAGACATGCAAATCAAGCATGACCCTTGCAGCCGTGCCACTTCGTAACAGCCATCACAGCGAGACAAGACAATAACTTTGTTTCAGTGTTGAGGATGACTCGTAGTAACAGACCGTCTATTTCAAATATTAAGGATTGGTAAGATGTCTGGAGTGCTTCTACCAGGACTTCGTCATTCTTCGCCTCGCTGGCTCAATCTGCTGGCTCGAGACGTCGGGCGTCACGGGGGACACTCCGAAAAGGGCACGTGGAATCGGTTATCCAGCCCAAGGTGTAAACAGTGGCTCAATGATCGCAACAAGCGCCGGGCACCACACCGATCAGTCCCGATCGACCGCTGATGCACCTGGACGGGGCCGATCAATTCACGTTCTTGGCAAGTTTGCTTCGTGGGACCGGGACTCGCGCTCGGCGATCGAGTCGGCGGCTTGAAGGCTGACGTAGAATAGCAGGAATTATCGGGGAAGAAAGGAATGATAACCGCGGTCGTCGTTCCTCTCCCCCCGGGGTGACAGGGTTGGTGCTCCCCTTACGGTTCGCACGCTGCGCTTGCCATTGAGGATGACTCGTGCTACATACGGTCATATGTTTTAGAGTACTGCAATCTTCAGCGCCAAGTAAAAAGGAGCTACCAGGCGTCTATATGCAAAGGAACATGAATGTGGCTTGTGCGGGGCTCGTACAAGATGCCAACACAGTTTATTAATCAATATATTTTACAAATTGGTTAGATCACGGTCAGGTTCGACACCTGATTCCGGTTCTCGCTATGACTTCAGAAAAAACCCAGCAAGACAGTGATTGCATATGAACATCTTGTTTGCCGCTCAAAGGATACTTCTTACAGAGGGTTGCTCTATAAAGGTTAGTGTGATCTGGTTGTACATTCTGATGCAGCGGTCTCTCTACCTTGGCTAGCTCAAGAGGCATGATCAAAAGTGGCTTTTGGTAAGACTATACGCAACATGAGGTGAACCGACGTATCATCATTGCAAGCAAGTGGTTGATGTAAATGGTCATCATCCATAAGTTTTAGCTGTCAGATGTTGACCTCTTCATAAAAAAATGGTCAACTATTGTGACCGGCTTGGACAGACTACTGTGTGTACTTCAGAACGATCGCGTCGAGTCACTTAAAGCCGGAACGAAACTTTGTACGACCTCTTGCGCGGACAGTATGGTAGTAGACTCTACATCATCTTAGCTATGAATTTGTTGTAAACATGCACAAACATGCACAAACAATAACAGACGGGTGACAGACGGGTGACAGACGGGTGACAGACTTGTGACGGACTTATGAAACATAAAGCAATCGCTTACTGATTATAAAAGCCCAAATGCTCTCGTGATTAGTTCGATACACATACCGTTCTTACTTGAGCTATCACGACCGAGATACGACCGAAGTACGCGGTACGTGTATTACAATGCACACGGGTACCAGCAATGTTCGTTATCTGTGCTACATCTTGTATACTCCCCAAGTCAAAGAGACTTTTAGGTAAGATGGGTTGTCAAACAAACACAATTACATTACTTGTCAATCGTTTGAATGCGTGTTGACCGCCTAAAAAATGTAGCGCAATAGCTCCTATTAAGCCTTTGGGATATTCTTAAATCAAAGTGATTTTACCAAATTGTCAAGTTTACACTACCATAACGTGGTCCACATCCTTACGACCATGTTGTTTGAAGGTAAAACCAATCGGCCATAGCGTTGAAAAGATGATCGGGGACTTTGAGTACCTGCAACAGCGAGTGGCGCTCCAAGTGGACGTCATGCGTAAACATGTAGTGAGTGTAGCTGAAGTAGTTCTGGCTCCAAGGGCTTCAGAATTGCGGGTATTGCGACTGCATGCGCGGCAACTGAAGGTGCGGACGGTACACATTGACAGCGTTAAGACTAACTTCGAGCAACTTAACTTCTTGAATGAAGTCGTGGACGAAAATTACCGAGATCTGGCAACCTTTGACCTATTTTATCGAGGTGCTATTGTCGCGTCTAAGGAAGGTGAACTTATTGTCGAAATTCCGAGAGAAATTACATTCCAGGAGGACGACCAAGACGTCGAGGGGTCGAGCAACTTAAGTGATCACCATATGGTTGACAATACGGAGACAGAAGTTGGTACTCATTATGAACAAAAATTGACATTAGATAATTGGGATATAGACCGTTTACCTAAAAGTTCGACAGGTTTTAAGCCAATTATTGTAAGAATCGAGTATGAGATTTCCGAACCAAGTGGAGGTTTGAGATTCGTACTACCAGATGAAGAGTATCAACCTAAAAGATCACCACACATGTACACTTATTGTGGACCATTTGGCGGTCTCTGTGATGGTGCACGTTCCTGGATGCCATGTCGAGATACACTACGAGATGCCTGTACGTTCCGGATTGAGCTGACGGTGCCTGATTGGTGTGTAGCAGTCTGCAGTGGACAAATGGTGCAACAAGTGCTGAACCCAGAGAGTGACGCTGATGGAGTGCAGTGGAGAACATTCAGATACGTGGTGAACCCCAAGACCAATTGCTCATCCGTGGGTTTTGCCGTCGGTCCTTTTCGACTTTACGTACCACCGGAAATGCCCAAGATGACGCACTTTGCACTGCCAGAATGTTTTGAAGGTCTCGTACATTGTACATCGAGGTTAGCGTCGACTATGACGTATTTTGAAACAGCACTGGGAGCTTCGTACCCGTTCAAGACGTACCAGCAGGTCTTTGTGGAAGATCTACCGGACCAGTTGCAGTATATTGCTGGAGGGGCCATTTTAGATCAGAATCTGTTACATGGACCGCGAATTATTGATCGTGAGCTGCCGTCGCATTTAGCGCAAGTAAAAGGGCTCGTAGGTAGCTGGGTTGGCGGTGCTGTTGGCATTCAGAGCACAAAGGACGCATGGGTGCTCATTGGTGTCATTGGTCATCTTGTTAACACATATGTTCGATCAATTTACGGCGAAGAGGAGTATGGCTACCGCATTCAGCTTGCGATGGATGCGCTGACCACGATGGAACTAACAACGGATCAACTGTCACCTGCACTGCTGTCATCTGAGGTAGACGTTTATTCTGAATATGATCCCGTATCTCTGACATTACTCGAAGTGAAGGCGCCTCTCGTGCTACACATGGTTGAGCAGCGCGTCGGCTCAAAGCACTTAAGCATCGCTATCCAACGTGCGGTGTCTGGTGGGGGCGCAGGCGTAGTGGCTAGTAGTGCTGCCCATGGCGGGGGCGATGTTCATGCGACCGGAGACGGAAACAAAGATGAAGAGGCAGATAAGACTCAAGATGATAAGAAAAGTGGTGGACGATATGATGAAGAGGAAGCTGGCGAGGCAGGTAGTGAGGCTGCAAATGTTGGTGCAGCTGGAAAACTGACGGGTTCGGCTTCGTCCGAGCCCCTGACGACGCTATCGTTCTTAAAGACGGTGAAGGCAATTGCAGGTGCTTCGGGCCAGGACCTAACGAAGTCTTTTCTATCTTTATGGATTATCGAACCTGGAATGCCGTTCTTTACGGTCGGCTATTGGTACAATCGCAAACAGACACAAGCGGAAGTGGTTGTACAACAAGAAATTCCTCCTGGTGGAAAGCTTTATATTGGCCCGATAACAATTACGATCGTAGAGGATACGAGCGAATACTCCTACCAGAAACGCATTGAGCACAAGCGGCATAAGTTTGACTTTCCATGCCACTCAAAGGTCCGAAAGAAACGCCGTAAACGTCAGGGACTTGCAGACCCAGACGACTCGGTGTCTGTTAGTGGCCCCGGTATGGGTTTAAATGATACGCCAGTATTCTGGGTGAAGATCGACACCGGCTGTGCATGGCTGAGGCACGTAGTCATGCACCAACCAGACTTTAACTGGATGGAGCAGTTGCTGTCCGACAAGAAGGTTGGCTCGCGTGTGCACGCCGCCCGCGCATTGGCGCTGTTTCATCGACCACATGAGAAGCCCAATGTGATGTCATGCAGAGTGCTCACGGAATGTATGAGCGGTCTCACGACTCACTCAAGACGGCTGCGTGCCGAAGCTGCCCAATCGCTGGGTATTTGGCAATCAATCCATGCACCTCTCACTAACGCAAACACCCAGCTACCAATTTGGAAAGCAATGCACAACCTTGTGCGTATTTTTAAGGAGCATTTCTTCGATCGAGTGACGGATATGCCACTGCCGAACTATTTCTTGCCATCTGGTGGTAAGGTAATTCTTGAAGCTCTAGGCGCGCAGCAGGCGTCGATTTCTAGCAAGCAGATCCAGGTACAGGACTATGCTGCTGGTGAGTACGAAATCAAAAAGAGTATTCCCAAGGCTCTCGCGATGATTCGTGCCCAAAGCGGCAAGTCGCCACCAGAGATCGAGGCCTTCCTGTTGCAGTTGCTTACTGAGAATGACAACTCGAAGAATTACATTGAAATGGACGATCAATCGAAGGTTGCGGACGACTGCTATTACATTGGAAACCTAGTGCTTTCATTGTCCGTCCTGAGCGTTGACCGGCCTGCTCGTTCCGATGATGGCGATACACTTGTTGTGCGTGAGATTTTGCGCTACCTGCACTACGATCAGGTGCAGCCAAGTTACAACAAGACAGTAACCGTATGCTGTCTAGAGGCGCTGTGCAATCTGGTGTTAGCTGGCCGATGCGCGGAGAAGCTGGTGAATTTCCACTCGTTCGCTTCACCGAAACATTCTAACGTTGTGCGCAAAGTAGCTATTGAAAGCATTCTTCGCTTGTACTTTGTTGAAGACCCTAATGGTCCGATTGCTAATGACGACAGTTCTTTGGCCAAGGGAATGAGCTACTCAATCGGCTCTAGCGCACACCAGAAGACCAGTCGAGCATCAACACGAGGGTCGTCTTCCTTGCTAACAAACAATTACGGAGCCACGGCAGCGATGTTATGGCTGTGTGAACTACTGAAGGTAGAACAATCTCCAGGCATCCGGTTGTTTGCTGTTCAAGTGTGTTTAAACTGCATTCGCGGATTCCCGCCTGGTGTTGGGAAGGAAGTGCTGGCGACGTGGGATCACAGCTATACGTTGGGCTTGATGAATCATATTGAGATGAAGGCGCCGACATCGTTTGTTCTCAGCAGCCCGGAGAAGGACAAGATATTGGGATTGTTTGATCGCCCCGACCTGAGCAAGCTTCGTGACGATAGCAGCTCAGCCAAGCGTATCGTTGAAGAGCTGTGGAACTTAATGAACACGACTGCTGCAATGGACCAGAGACTGCGTGTGGCGCTCATCGTCTTATATCGAAAGGTGTGGGGTGAAAATACTCCCATCTCAGTTGCTCACATCGTTCAGGACAAGGCCTCCAATTGGGCTGGTGGCTATGAAAGTCTTCGACTTATGATGGAAGATAGCAAGAACCGGATGTCGATGAGCGGCTCGGGTCGTGGTGGCAACAATGCTGGTCTTAATGGCCCTGACGCCAACAATGGAATGGGCAGAAAGTCTGATGACGATCGAAAGCGAGGTTTTCCATTTGCTGGCAGTAACTCGACCGATTCCGCGCTTGAGCAGTTCCGCGGCAAAAAGTTCAAGTTCAAAATGGGTGATACAACCTTCCGATCGCACAAGCTTTAAACTTGCAGCCGTCTAATCGTTTCCTGCCTATTAATATACAAGGCATCCTGTGCAGTGAGAGTGGATAAGTATTTTTGTTCGAGATGGTGGCTATCTATGCCTGTCGATTACGAGAACTGTGAAGTATTCAGATAGCGCATTGTGCACAGCGCAATTGAAGGAAGACGCATACCCGATTAACGGCGTATGGAGGGGAATTGCTTGAGTATTTGCCATGATGAAAGGAAGGTCCTTAACTGCATTGACAACCGAGGCCAAGGACCATGCCTCACCAAAAGTAACGCTTGACACGGTACTTGCAGACAATCAGGACGCCGTTAAATGCTTTTTGACCAGATAGGATCACTCGGAGATGAATGCACACACTAGTTCACGCTGCAAGCAACAAATTACGTCATTTCCATACCGGGATAGCAAGGCTTACTTTGTCGCAAGCAAAAGACAAAGCTCCTCTTCAACCTGACCTCGTTCAAACCACGCTGTGATCTCCTCAGAGCTCATAGTAGTATGATCTCTGATCCCGCTCTGCTTTTTGTATGCTTTCTTGTGTGGCTGTGCAACTATCTGACGTGTCTTTTTCGCAGCCTTCTTATAAAGAGTATCAACAGTCTTGGAGCTCTCAACACGCTGTGTAGGGGCCGCAATCTTTTGCACAACCTTGTCTGTCACAGTCGGTCGTAGCAGCATCGACACCTCCTTCTTTGTGTCCACACTCCTCTTGTCAGCTCGAGGGTGCACATAAGTGTCGACGACGGCATTCTTCAGTTCCAAAAGCTCGCTCTGCAGTGCTTGGAACTCCAATCCTCGCGACAACTGCGTCGTCACCGATGAACTATCCTTCGACATTGTCACCCGTTTCGTCGCCGCTTTTTCTACTGCTAACATCTTTGTCACTCGAGCTCCCAAAAGCTTCACTGCCTGATTATACTGCGTCTGCTGTTGCTTCACCACATTCAGCAGCGCTTCTACTCTCGAGTGCAAGCGCTTTTTGCGCTGTATCTTCTCTGCTTCATATTTCAGCAGCATCTGCTCTGTGTTTCTCCGTCTGACTTGCGAGTAGCCATAGCCCAATAGCATTAGCAATAGCATTACGACGCCATACTTCTTGACAATGTTCTGGAGCAGCTGGAAAGACGATTTCGGCGCTGATTTCAACGTTGTTAACCTGTGAATGTCAACGTTGGACGCTAAATGTTCAGCTGTACGTTGTGTTAATTGTGAGAGCCCATTACGGCTATCTACACTCTTTAAACAGTGCGTAATTTCCTCTGGAGACAAACCCTAGAAGATGACATTCCATTCGACAGGTTTTGTGGTTGATACCCAGAGTTTATACAGTCTTTTATACTGTTAAAAAAGAAAAGAATACATAACTTACCTTTTTCTCAAGAAAGTCTACGCGCTGAGCGAGTGATAACGTACGCACAGTTGGATGAAAGAGAAAATCTTCGCACCTGCGCAATAGACTTGGGTCTCTTGGCGTCGTCATTTGGCATGAATAAATGTCATTGGTGTATTGTCACGTAAATTGGTGTCTGCCACACGTCAGAGCGAGAGGTTGTTTATCACGAAAAAGACCATGCAGAATGATGGTCAAGAGGCAGTCGAAATGATTGGTGATGCACCCGAATGGACGTCAAGTGTGGACAATCAGCAGCAGCAGAGTCAAGAAGACACTGGAGTATCAAAGTACATGGATGATGGTCTACCACCAATACTCTTAGTAAAGGCGATGCCACGAGTTGCAACAGCTCAGGAAAGAATGTTGGTCCCAGTGCTGAATGATGGTCACAGGGAGCAGACCGGACAAAGGCAGCAACAACGGTCGATAGAGAAAGCAAGTACTAAGCTGGCAAAGGTCAAAATGACAAAGAAAGTGGCTGCACATGAGACTTCAAGACGGAAATGGAAGACGAACGTAGCAAGAAACGAGTCCAGTGGCATTTCACAGACGTCAGCAACAATGTTGTTCCAGTGTTCATGTCAATTATTACGGAATCAGACGCTGGACTATGACGTGCGTGCTCGTGAGATGGAGGAACGCAATGCGGCGCAGACAAGAGAGATTGACGAATGGGAGAAGAGAATTCGCAGTCTTAAGCGTGAATTGGAAGAGTACGCGGACGAACAGGTAGACGAGGCTACAGACATGGCTCTTGTTGAAGATACTCATGGATCTCACGAGCAGATGGCAAAAGCGTTGCCATCTTCCACTGCAGTGTTTGGTACAATTGAGACGACGGCATTGCCACCAGCTGTTATTGCTGCAGAGATCAAGGTACAGGACGAACTACGTAATCGCAGACAAAAGGTCAAGGAGTTTTGTAGAAACATACCGGGCTTTATTCAGTCGCAAGAGAGTGGACATTATTTCTAACAATGTTTACATTGACATTATCTTATTCCACCGTCATCGTCTTCATATCGCTTTGAAACTCGTCATTTCTCATTATGATTCTGTTTTATAGGTTTACAGAGTGAAGGTCTGTAGCCATATTCTAACTGTCAGGTCAAGTGTCCAGAGCTCTTTCATTTGGTAACTGTCATGACTTGGCGCAAGAACCGCTTTTCTTCATCTCCGAGCAACCGTCCAGTGTCTTTTGGTGGTCGTTCTGGTCGTGGCGGACGTCGTCGTCCACCTGGAGAACCCACAGATCAAGACATTGCACGCATGGTCCAGCAGAGCGCATTGCGTGTGAATGTGACGCTGGAATTTGGAGCTGGAGACGATGAAACAGACCGATTGTGTCACGTTCTTATGGCGTTTGAACAAAGTGTTGAAGCTCGACGCAGCCACGCAGTGACGGAGTGTCATGACGTGCGCGTGCAGCTGCTGGAATGCGGTTTGAACAAGTGGCAGGACTTGGTGGAACTGCAGCGCGTGTTGACGGCGTTCAAGAGATTAACGGATGGCGACGAGCAGTTGCAGCTGATGGCCAAGACGTTGTTGCGTTATGATACCGAGTGGACGTTGCATTTGAGAGTTGAGAGAGCGTCCGAGGACGCGCTGTGGAGGTTGGCGAGCAGTTTAATGCTGAGACTCAAGAGCTGTGGTGTCATGTCGAGAGTTTTGCTACCGACGTCTCTATTGACGTTATCGTTGGCGTCGACTGTTGTTGATTGTGAAAATGTGGACGTCGAAAAGTATCACTGGGAAGGAAAACTAGTGTGGAGTCAGATGATGCTTTTTGTGGCGGGTGAGAAGAGAGAGGAGATTCAAAGGGTGTTATTTCCGCCAATTCGAGAGGTGGTGACGGCTGCACGGGCTAATCTTGAGGAACTGCGGTATCCTGAGCTAGTGACTTATATGAATGGTATACTAAGTAGCAGTACTGACTCGGAAAGAGCTGTGGTAGTTATTTTACGAGGAATTCCAGGGAGTGGAAAGAGTACGATTTGGCGCGATATGAAGGCGATTTGTAGCCACAAAAGAGTAGTGTTCACAGCCTGTTCGGCTGATTTTTTCTTCGAAACGAAGCGAGGATATATTTTTGATGTAACGAAGCTGAAAGCTGCCCATGGAAAATGCAAGACAGACTTTACGAAGGTCGTTGAAGACTCGTTTTCGCGTACAAACAAAGACAGCCGTCCTCACCAGCACGTTGTTCTGGTCGACAATACCAATACCCAGAGATGGGAATATCAGCCGTACGAAGATATTGCAAAGGCTAAGGGCTGTCGTGTTCATATTGTTGAAATGAAGTGTCCAGACATTCTGACGGCATTCCGAATGGGCCAACGCAATTCACACGGCGTCCCTCCTGACAAAGTTGTCGATATGTTTTTGCGGTGGGAAGCGGACAAGCGCGCTCGCTGCTTCATGCCCCAATTTGAGTATCCTACGCTCTCCGCAAATCCGCTTTCCGATGGTGATGTTGGACGTTTGACCTACCTCGGTCTGTTTTTGGATGATGTGTCGCGAACGAAGCTGACCACACAGATTCGCACAGTACATCTGAACAAATATGCTGACCACGTGACATTGTTTTATCGGCCGAACAAACAATATATTAGGGATGCTGAACTTGGTGCCCCATTCCCTGTTCGTGGTGTTGAAGTTGTACAAGATGACCGTGGCCAAGCTCTACGAGTCGAGCTGGATGAGCGACTGCCTTTGCAAGTAAAAAGCAAAATGCCGCATATCACGATGTCGACAAAGGGTGGCGTGCGTCCGGTATACTCTAACGATCTCCTAGGCAGCTCTACAGCAAGACGAACGGTAATTGATCCGCCAATCGATTTAACAGCTCGTGTCGTGGCTGTTTTTCATATCCAGAATCAGGAAGTGAAGATGACAACGTCGCCATTTGCCGTAGATGCAGCGCCTGCCGACATCGATCACTTGCGTCCTATCAACGATGATTGCGTATTGGCAGATACGAACCCACCTGCTAGTCCGGAATTATTTATTTTGCACGTGAGAGAATGCGATCTTGCCGATGATGCTGAAGAGGCTACGACGAAGCTTTTGAAGAGGGCTCAGATTCTGCACCAAATGGGCTCCGAGCACAAGGGGCGCCGTCTGCTTTGCTTCCACGAATCCCAGGTGTCCCCATCGTTATCAGTATCAGCATTGCTGAGCAAAATACAAGCCTACTATCGTTTCTCGTCAGCACAGATTTTCGACGACGTGGTGGTGATTCCTCACCCTTTTTCGTTCGAAGGGTTCAAAGAGACCATTAACAACTTTGTGTCAGTAGCTGATTTGGGGCAGACGAAACACCTTTCGATGCTGACAACCGTCGAAGAATCGATGATGTGGCCTCTTCGTGAGATTAATTTGCGTCATGATGCTGCTGTGAGCGTTTTCCGTACCGTTGTTGGATTTGAAAGTGGTGCGATGCGGGGTAATACTGCGCTGGAACCTCCATGCTCAACATTCTTTTTGTTGTTGGATTTGCTGAGCATTAATATAGAGGAACGCACGCGGAGCGTAATCCTTCGTGGCATTGACACCGTTAGTGATGCTTGGGATAGAGTTTTGGGGGCTAAAGTCAACTGTTCAGTGCAACGCCTCGATACAACTTTAATTGGCTTGTCCGCAAGTGTTGTTGATCTGTGCTTGGTGCTGCCAAATGAGACTTCCCTTAGCGAGGTGCCAACACTTCGGATGAAACTATTGAGCGAACTTGACAATACACGAAGTGTCCATCATGCTGTTGGTGGCTCGAGCGTTCCTGGTCTGATCTACTTTAGCCTACGTACTGCATCGAGCTACTCCCCCATTTTCTGCATGAAAATGACAACACGATCGAAGGAATTCGGTGATGGAGTTGACCCCAACATCATTGCCCAATTAGAGTTCTGCGAGAATCAAGTAAAGACAAGCCGCGCGATTTGTGATGTCGAGGTGTACAGTGTGCTAACTGCACTTCTTCGTGCGATTTTGTTAAGTCGGTGTAGTAAGCTACTACCGAGCAAGTGCGAGCTATCTTCCTTGGTCAATCTCATTAGTGAGCGGTTGATTTTGCGATATTTTGGTACCATCGATTCATCTGGTGGAGTGGATGCAATGCCGACGGCAGCGGACGTCGAGTCTGGCCGCATTATCTTCACGCTGTACCAAATGCTGAATTCTTTATCAAAGCTAAACTCGGACGAGTGGGCTGTTGCATTCGGGACCTCGCTGCAAGCGCTTCAAGGCAACAAAAACGCACAAACGGCATGGATTCGAGCGATGAAAAAGGTAGTGCAAAACTGCACGGTCGTGATGGATTCCCATCGCTGTATTGAGGAAGGGTTGAAAAGGGCTATCTCCTTGAAATCAACGGACCATCTTCAAGTCCTTGCCGCGCTTATTAGGGCAAATGATGACGTAATCATTAATGCATCTTCCGTGCGTGCATCCGTAAAGGTTTCCAGTCACCTCAAGTGGAGTCAAGTGCATTCACTTGCGCTTTGTGACAAGCTACGGCACGAGGCGACGATGGAAATAGGACCTCATGATGACGACGAGCGTAATCCAAATCGCCCGGATTTTTTCTCCTGTCGACCAAGTCTAGTTGCTCGCCACATTGACGTGACGACGTCATCGCTTGAGAAATTACGCCATATCATGGCGAAGATTTCAATGCTTGATACTTTCGAGGACGAGAATGAAGATAATGACTACAGGTACGTGATTTGCCAGACAGAGAGTGACGAAGAAGGTTTTGTCGACGAGAGTCCATCGTTTATTGAAGCAAGCGCTGAATACGAAGAAGAGAAGACCATGTAATGGGACGGACTAGTGAGGAAGGAATCTCATGCCTATAATATGAGCTCTTTAAATGGGACACAGTCAGAAAAACAGTCTTGTATTTCAAGCCAAGTACAAATTCAAATTTGAAACTTCAAATTTGAAACTTCAAATTTGAACATTCAGTTGCTGAAACAAGTCCACACGACCAGCGCCTTTCTATGCTATCACCATTGCACAACCACGCCAAAAGTGTCTCGTCTCTCGCCATGTCACCATCTTCAGAATCCAATCTAATGTTCCAAATATCGATATACCGATACAACATGTCTCACTCGATTATCCCCTCCACTCTGTCCTATACTTTATTCCCTCCTCTTGAAATTCCTACGTGTCATTAAATAATCTACTTCGTTGTATACCCATGGAACCGGTATTAATGGCAATGCAAACATTATGTGAACGTTCATGGGAGCTCCGACCATTATGTGAGACGCTTTTAGGACGTCTTGTGGCAATTTGTGGCTATACCGATCACTTTCGTGCGCAACAATCAACATCAATGGACGTCACGTCTTTGAAAACGGAATTCCAGTGGCCTGTACAAGTTGATGCAGCGTTATCACGCTTTACTCTTTTGTTAGAGAGTGTTGCAGCTACTGAAAGTGCTGTCTTTCGTCTGGCTGTCGCTCCTTCTCCTGTTCGTGAACTTCGTTCCTTGCACGTGTGGTTGGACGCATCTTTTCGTGAATTACATGCAGAACACGTGGATCCGAGTGTCTGCTGGGCACAAGAGTGGGAAGAAGAGCTTGAGCGGGTCGAACATGCAATGCAATTGGCCGCTCGAGTACAAGTGGATGCAGCAGCAGAATGCATTGACAATGAACAGAGAGAAATGGCAGCGGTCGTGAAATTTGCTTTTAAGCAGGTACAGGACGTAACAAGACGCACGAACAAGAAGAAAAGACAAAGTCAAACAAGCTATGGCAGCAATGAAGATGCAGTTAATGAACCTACAGATGATGGAGCAGAGCTTTTTCCAGATCATGAAGAGTCCTTACGAGTTTTGTTTCGGAGGTTGGTACGCGTCTGTGGTGTTCAGGTTCCCATGCTACCGTCGTGGTTCCTTTCGCCTGCTGAAGTAGCTTTACATCCAAGCACTCGATTCCGTGGGGGACCACAATGTCAAATTACAAGCGCTAGTTGGATGCGCAGTCGTGGTCAGAAGAAAAGCGGGGTGCAACAACTTCTTATCAAGCAGTTTGTGGTTGGAAATGGAGCTGATGTTAAGTCGGAGGCGTTTCTCTTGCAAGCAGTCGAAGCGGTGCGACGCGAGACTGAATTACTACGCGATGTGGTCTGCCATCCACATGTGCTCCAATTAGCAGGAGCATCAACTTTTGGCTCACAGCCATTCGTGGCATTTGTGAGTCCATGGGCAGCCCCTGAGTCTGGATCAGCAACGGTGACATCGCTTGAAGACTACCTGAACTTGTCCGTTGACCACCGGCGTCAACTATTCCGCCTGCTTGCTCAAGCTGCTATGGGACTCCAGAGTCTACATGAGGCGTCGTTGATTCACGGTGGTCTCTGTTGTGCAAACATTTTAGTTGGAGATGACGGCCAAGCTAGACTATCAAATCTTTGCTCGTTCTCCCTATCGCGTAGCGCGTCGGAATCTGAACTGAAAGCACCCTCAGCTCCCTATCAAGGATCACTCAGATGGCAAGCACCGGAGTTGCTAGGGGACGAGCCAAAGGCTGACTTGGCCTCGGATATCTATGCGTTTGGAATGACACTACTGGAAGCACTTTCAGAAGAGCTGCCATGGGGGTTCATGGCTGATGAGGAAGTTCGTGAGCAAGTATTGGCTGGTAAGATGCCTTCTCCTCCTGTCGGGGTAGAAGAGAATGTGTGGTCGCTAGTTGAGGCCATGTGCGATCATGATCTGGCCGCGAGACCTGAGATCAATACAGTTGTGGAGGAGCTACAGGCTCTAGCAGAAGAAGAGCGCGAGCGCGATGGTGATGATAAAAACTTTGAAGATGCTTCCTCAATGCCTGCGTTACCATTACATCGAGCATCCAATGCAGATTACTTGCGCGTGGCCTCTCCTTTTATCACTTCAACAAAAAACAACACCTCGAATGCGCCGGAGCTTGGCAGGAGGCTGAGCAGCCCAAAAGTCAACTCAATAATGAAGCCTGTGGTCGAGCTTCCAGGGTCGCCGCAGCAAATCGAACCTGGATCACCAGCCACAGCCATAGCAGTCGTGGAACTTCGTCAAAAATGGCTGGGAGTAAAGATCAACTCGGTTGGAAACCGCGTGGTAGTAAGCAAGTTTCTGCGAAACGAATCCGGTGCAGCTGGGGAGATTGAGGCCTCTGGTCGTGTAGAGCGTGGCGATATTATCGTTGCGGTTAACGGCCAGAGCGTCCATGGCCTGGATCGCCTTCAGATCGGTGCTATCGTTCAGAGTTCGCCTCGGCCTCTCGAAGTATCGTTTAAGCGTGACCCAAAGTTGCTTACCGACTCGTTCTGTTTCCGCGGGCTATCGGTGGATCCACGCTGGCGTGATCGGGGTTCAGCGTTGCCGTTGCCAGAATCATTGAGTCACATGCTTACTAGTATCGGTGAGGTCGAGAATGAAGTTGGCAACGCTGCCGACCCGTTCTCGATCGAAATATGGTTTTCGCTTGCTGAGCTTGCTGACACGCTCCTAGGTGGCGTTTTGCTGGGAGCTCAAGATGTACCATTTCAGAAAACCAGCGATGCTAGTGATTGGCCTTACATCCATCATCAATTGCTTTCTGTCGACCCGGTGGGCAATCTCTGGTGCTCGTTCCTCGACCGCTCAACTCCAATTTGCGTAGCTCGAGAACTTTCGCCGAATCATTGGTATCATCTTGTAGTGACGTATGGCGGTGATGCTGGATTAGACTCGGCTACGAGTGCAAGAACTGACCAACCCGATCAGCTGCTGACAGTGTACTTGAATGGCGAGCAGCGCATATCGGACTCTGGTGCTTTGCTCGTAGATTGGGCAAAATTGCACCACGTGAATGTTGGTTCAGGCTGCATCAGCGGCTTGGCACCAGCCAAACCAGAGCCGTATTTCTCGGGTTGGTTTGGCTTTAGTGGTCTAGTCTTTGACTTGCGAATGTGGAAACGCAAAGAGCTCAACAGTTCTCAGGTTCAACTGCTTTTTCGAGGCAGTCGTGACTTTATTGACGATCCAAACTATTCACTTCGCCATGATCTGCTGGACGAAGTTGTTGACGAGAAGATTGGATCGAGTGAAAGAAAGTGTTACCATTTGATTCGAGTCGCCAAGTTCCAAGGTCCATCATTTGCTAAACTTGTGCGTACGACGTGGCCTCATCAAGTCAGTGCCCAAGTTTACAGCTGAATTTGTGTTACTAAAAGGTTGTCGTATGTATCGTGGTACGAAAATGTTATTAAGAGTCAAACTGGGCAAGTTGACGTAGTAGTTCAGCGTGAATGCACATCCGAGCAATTGATTACTGTTGAAATGCATGAATGTTTTGTAAACTTGAGCATTTTTGTAATTTAAGAAAAAGCAGCGACACAAAATAAAGCCATTGCTACTTTTAACGACCGAGCACCTTATTCTAGGTCGTCTGCTCTACTATAACAGCCTTATTTCCTATTTTCGTGTGTTCTGATGTATTCCACATCAATTCCATAACCCATTTTCGCCTCTTCCCACCACTCTCGCATCTTACGACATCCGCGACAAACAGTGTCGTTTTGTGGAGCCACTACCTCGTTTCATTCTCGTCGCTCCGACTCGTTGTATTCTACGTCATCTTGGCTCTCTACTCCACTATTTTTCGTCTTGTAAATCGTCCAAGAACAGGATTTATCAACATCTAAAGCTACAACATGTCGACATTCCCAATACTCAACGATTTACCCGCATTACGGACGTTTTTAAAGGCTCAAAGCACTGATGACATTTGCTACAAGATCATGTCAAGTCTCATGCTGAAACTACGTCATTTACCGGCTTTTAACGATGAAAACAAGACAGAATCAGTACTTTTAGACGACATTCACGACTTTCTCGATACAATTCTATTGGCTCATGCAAACAATGTACTGATTCAAGAGAATGTCAACCACATGGCTACAAATCAACAGAATGATGGTCTTTTGTGTCCCGTGACACGAAATGCCTTTTTTGCTCATTTCAAGCCCCAGAGCAGCGCTCAAGTGCTTTGTGGCTATTTATTTCAACGAAATGACATTGTTTTCAACTGCAAAACGTGTCAATCAGATGAGACGTGTGTCTTGTGCTTGAAATGCTTTCAAAATGGCAATCATGAAGGTCATGATGTCTTTTTTCATCGGACAAGTCCTGGTGGAGTCTGTGACTGTGGAGACAGTGAAGCTTGGAAACCAGAAGGTTTTTGTGTCGATCATGGACAGAGAGAAGGAGATGCAGCTACAGCAATGAACAGTGAAAGTGCAGGATTGTTACCTACAGAGATTGTACAAGTAGCAGACACATTATTTACAGCTATTGTCGATTTTTGTGTCGAAATGGCCAAGAAATCCATGCAGGTTTTTGATGCAGAATGTGTGGATGCACAAGGACGCCAGACGCTCCATGAGTTACGATTAGAACGTAATTATAGTTTGGAGGATGCACAGGTGGTGGAACGACAATTCCATGTGAGAATCTGCAATGACGACGTGCATTCAGACGAAGACTTAATTCGATCTTTATCACAGAAAAGAATTTCTAAAGCGGAAGATCTTGTGCGCGCGATTGACTCGAATGGATCGGAGATTGTAGCTCGGAATTTGACGCTGCGTGATGCGCTGATGCTCATGCAGGCACTTAAAAGTGAAGGTTGGCACGTGTGTGTGGTGCAAGACAGGTTTATTCACGACGAAGATGTGTTGTTGCGAGTTACGCAATGGGTGAAAACGATCTGCTCACTTTCCAAGCAGCTGCATGTGCTGTTCTGTGACAAGTTGTTTGCGACAAACGGCACAAGTAAAGTGCCGATTCAGATCATGTTCCTTTCCGACCCGTACTTTCGCAAGGATATTGTCTTGGAGTTGTACGAGTTGTATCTGAAGCTGCAGGGAGACAAAGGTCCAAAGCTGCAGTTTTCGATTGTTTTTCTGAAAGTGTATAACCGTATGATGGTCAAATATTTTTGTGGTGTCGGTACGCGCAAAGAATCACTTTTTCAGTACGGCGTGCAGATTTTGACAACGCCCTCTATCGTGCATCACTTGGCAAGCATGGGTTTATTGGATATGCTTTTGGATACTATTAACACGGCCCTTGAGATGGCACGTGCCCCGACATTACCGCCGCATCAGCACCAGGGTCTTTGTCACACGCTTGACTGCGATCACCCACTACTCAAATTCAAACGGTATCACTTTGTGATTGAAAATTTTGGTTACGTATTGGGCATCCCGGCGATTTCAAGCACCTTACTTCTTCGCTCTGATTTGTTAGAAAAGTGGCTCAATGCTCTTGCACAAATTCAGGGCCTGGATCCTCAAGTGCGGATACAGGATGGCCGTGCCCACGTGACGTACGAAACCCAATCGTGGCTCACGGCTTTTGCTTTTCACGCCAACGTAAGTAAAATCCTTACGTTCATTTCGAAAGGCCTTCGCTATCACGAAGCTGCAGATACGGAAACGCTCAACCAAGATCGCGAACACATGGTATTTAATATGTTGGAAGGGTTCTGGGGCCAGCTAGATGGGACCGGTATGGGTATAACTCAGTTGCAACTGTACGTACCGCCTTGTGGCAAGCTAATGGGATCACCATATTCCGAGAAAATCGTCAAATATGATGTGTTGACACAACCAGTGTCTTTCCACAACCCACTTCACGGTCTGTTGAGCAGCTTTTTAATCGAGAGTCTCTACCATGGTCCGCCCCCATCTCCTGGAAATGCGGTTCCATGGGTCACAAACTGGGGCACACTACTGGAACGCTCTATGTCTAAGGTGCTGCGAACAGAGGAAGAAGAGCAAGAGGATGCTGCTGAAGACAAGAAAACAATGCTGATATATGGAATGCTGGAGTATCCGCTGCGCTCTCTGGTGCTCTGTGCACATATCAGCTGTGGGCTCTGGATCCGCAATGGACAGAACATGCAACGCCAAATGCTTAACTACACCAGCCCACCGTGGTGCAGTGAGTTGCGAGATTTAGACCTCTTTCTTGTACAAGTGAGCGCGACTATCGTGGGCTTTCCCAAGTTTCTGACGATTTTTTTCGATCGTTTTGGCCTGTCTGAATGGCTTCTCGTGTGGGCTAATGTACGCACTGCTAATAATGAGAGTTCCGGTATTTCCGCTCGTGGGACACCCTCGAGTGGTTCGGAAGACGAAAAGCATGTTTGTGTTTTGGAGGCTGCTCTATTGCAGCTTATCTGGATTTGTACCGAGCTCACGCCTCCGTTGGATGCAATCGAAGAACGAGACACGGTGCTTCGTCGCGAGATTATTCATCGACTAAGCCAACACCCTTGCCGATTATCAGAATTGCTCGACCAAACCACGTTTGTTGTTTCGACACCGTTTGGTGGAATTTCAACTCGCCAAGAAAAGCAGCACCTAACTCGATTAGAGCGGATTTTGGATGAAGTGGCTGACGAGCAGGTTAAACGTTCTGTCATGGTGGCTCCTCTTGGTGATGGAGGCTGCGACGAAGATAGCGTGGGAGACGGAGCAATGGAACCTACCAAGTACATTCTGAAGAAGACGTATTATAAGGAATATGATCCATCCTTCTATCACTTAAGTCGTTCTTGCCACGAGAAAGCACAATTTGCGCGACAGGAGGCTTTGTTCAAGACGTGGAAAGTTGAGGATCCACCGATTCCGTTGGTAGCCCAAGTTCCACCCCCTCATTTGTCATTAGGCACGGTACGATTCCTTGTGCTGGAAAAGGGGCTGCTAGGCGTTTTGCGACTCATTCTAGAGGACGCACATTGTCATGCTATTGGCCACTGTGAAGGCATGAGTTGTACCCCTGACGTCAAGAGAACCAATGTTATGGTGGTGTTGCGTGCCATTCATCTGATTAATTTGGTAGTGCTTGTACTGAAACGGAAGGCTAGCAGTGCCGCTCTACCGCAGCAAAATGAAGCTGTTTTATCTGACAGTAAGAGGCGGCAGGCGCTAGCATTTTTGTGCAGCGGCCCAGATACATTTGAAGAAGCCGATAATACTTCACGTGGCAAAAAGCGTGTAAAGCGGCAGTCGATATCACGAAATGATGGAGATGTCGAAATGAATAGTGATAGCGATCAAAGCGACCTGGGCGAGGTAAAGGATCTGAGCATTGTTGCATTGCTTGTGGCTCTCTCTAAGGATCTGGTGAAGCACGATTTTGAGACCTCGAAATCAACGATCTCGGCTGTCTATTGGATATTAAATGAGTTGGCTGCGCTAGACCGCGTCATATATGCCTATGTTAAGCTCAAGGTTTGGAGCGGAATGAAAAAGCATGAAGAACAAGTAACTGAGAATGGAATGTCCAAGGCTCAGCTCAAGAAACTTCACCAACAGCGTGCAATTGCAGCGATGATGGCACGCCAGAGGGCGTTTGCGCAGTCAAGCGCTTTCGCTGATTTGGATGATGAGGATCAGGATGATGATAAATCAGGGGAATCTGGATCGAGTGGGAAGTCTGGTATTGATGCGGACGATCCCAATCACGATATGCCTGGGCATAAAATTGTGTATCGGCCACCATCACCGCCAGACTGCATTATCTGCTCTCAGAAAGAGAGAGATGAACCAATCATGTACATTGGTCACGCACAATTGAGTAAGGTCAATGCGCACGCACAGGAGAATCTTCCTGGCGACGTGGAGACTGCTTTGAGTGACGAAAACTACCAGTGTGGTGTCAATAAGTCCACAGCATCTCCTGCCCTGGTTTTCCCGCCGCAAATTCATTTATCGCTATGTGGTCATGCCGTGCACTTGCGCTGTTGGCAGAAGTACTTTGAGTCGGTAAAGGCACAGTCTCGATTTAATCACGAACACAGCCAGACAAACATCGCATTTGATGCCAATTTTGGTGAATTTCTCTGTCCTCTCTGTCAAGCGCTCAGTTCCATGCTCGTGCCGTGCCTTCCAGTTTGCTCGCCTATGACGTTAGCAGAACAGCAGCGTGACCGTGGCGCTATGGAGCGAGTATTTCAATCCAAGCAAGATACATCCATCATTCTGTCATGGCTGTCAGAGGGGCTACCAAGTCAATTAGAGACCCTTGCCCCTGAAGACGAAAGTATGAGTGACGATGAAGATGAAAGGACCCGAATGCGGCAGCAGGACGACATTCGTGCTATGAATCAATTCGCTTTATCGTTTCTGGAAACGATGCTACGCTTTCAACCGGAAATGACGCACTTAGCAACTGCAATGAGTGCTCTTAAGAAAGGTTTCTTTTCAACGGGACCGCAGCTGACACACTTGATTTGGTCTTCTGTAGCATCGACAATAACAAGCACTCAAGTAAGCGGCATATCTTCCGCCATTTACTCGCTCAAAATGCATGCATCTTCGTCAAAGAACGGACACAAGGGGACCAGTTGGCGATCAAATTCCGCTACTCGAACTAGTGATGCAAAAGCTACGTCTTCATTTTCTTCGTTGCGAATCACGAACATCCTGAATCCAGCTATGCCAAGTCTGAAAACACGATTAGCAGTGTCATTGCCCGAAGCGCTTGACCCGCAGCTAGATCAGTGTACACCTAAGGATGACAGCAAGCTAAATGTCTTGCTTCGCTCGCTGCGCCGCGTGCCGTTGCTATTCACTAAGCGTCGTCATGGATTTTACACAAGCATGTGCGTTCCTATCGCGCAGAACCTGCGGCTTGCACTTTCACCGCAACAGTGGTCACAGGTGCTACCACAAGGGCCGCCTCTGCAGTTAGGCTTGCCTATTTTGTGTCAGGATTTGTTCTACCTCAGTGTAGCAATTTGCAGCAGCATGTTGACGACAAAGGCCGATATCTTGCTCACCATTCGGTCTCTCTGCGTCTTGCACATGGCCCAAACGCTCATCCAGATAGCACAACTGGAAGCTGAAGACGAGGACAACTGCCTTGAAGAAGAACAGAATGAAGCAGAACATAGAGTTGCTACCGTAACCATCGGCTCATCCCCAGAGCAGCAGAATGAAATGCAACGGGGGCTGGAGTCGCTTATGGTACGTCTTGCACAAGAAGCTGGCGTGAATTTCGCTGGAAAAGAACAAGGCGAGGAAGGAGGTAATACAGCAGACCTTCCTCACCGACGCCCCGCTCCACGCGGACGACAGCTCCAGCTTCTTTTCAAGTCATCGTGCTTGGCATTTATGCGGCAGGTGACACTTCTGTGCCGTGCTTTTTTTCGAGGCGAGCATGACCCTGATGCATCGTGGAGCGCCAACTTTGTGAGCTCTCTGCGGCTCAGTACAAATTACCACGACATGTGCCAGCAAATAGGCTTGCCTGGAATTACTCAATTGTTGGCGGATGAGGCACTCGTGGAATATCTCGCGCGAGCTGCGCGTGAGCTTCGTATTCGCCCTACTAGTGCTGCACTTCCCAAAGAATTGCTGCTTCGCTACAAGCAACACGGCCACGCCGGTCCCATTATCGTGGAACTTTTGAAACTCATTTCAAATGAGGAGAATGAAGTCTTTTCTGAACGGGGCACACTCATTGTCCGGAGCAATTTACAGGAAATACCAAAACTACCGCTACGCCTGGAGCCAGATGCACAACAAGGCCGAACTTTGTGTCATTTTGCAAATGTTCAGCTTGTAAAGTTAGCTCATTCTTACACGGACCTGCACTCCGAGGTGCTGGGCAAAAGCAAGTGCAAGCAGACGTGGAAGACCGTGGAGAATCCAGCCATCTGCCTTGTATGTGAGCAAGTTTTGTGTGCTGGAACAGAGTGCTGTCGACGTCGGAGTGACGGAATGGGTGCCTGCACACATCACGCCATCACTTGTGGCGCTGGTGTTGGGCTTTTCTTTCTCATGCGGTCGTCGTCAGTGCTGTTAGTCTTTGGTCCACGGAGCTCGTACTTCGGCTCACCTTATCTCGACATGTTTGGTGAAGAAGACATCAATGTGCGCCGTGGTCGGCCGTTGTACTTGAACATTAAGCGCATGAAGGCACTCCAGGCGCTGTATGCCAATCATCAGCTGGCGAACGAGGTCGCGCGCAATCGGCGCACGTCTGATCAGTACATTCGCAATAACTACTACTGAGTCGATGGACTCGACTCATAGATGATGATGATCAGAATCAAACCCAATGCTGCCTGCCAGTCTACACTTGGAAGTTATTTATGATCAACTTGTTGATTTTTCATGCTGCGGATTCAAGTACAAATGTACTTATCGACCTCACCATGGGAAATGCTACTTCTACTTCTTCTCAAAAAAGTTTATAAAAACTTTTGCAACCTGTATCACTACAAGTTCTGGTTTAATATTGGAATTTGTATTGATTTTCCAACGACACGAGGCTTTTTCGTCTTCCATTGCCAGTAAAATGTCCGATTCTTGACGGAGAATTTCTGTATAAAACACTCGTATCCAATAAATGGGAAAGTTTTGGAGTATCCCGAAAAAAATAACCATGTTTTTCTTCGATTTAGGTCGATGATGTCGTTATGACTTGGCAGTCGGTCTAATGATACGACAAAAGAATGATCACGTACCAATTGAATGTGCAACAACTCATGAAGGTTCAAGACCGTGTACAGATTGAAACGATTCGAAACTGTAAACGATCCAGAAATTGGGGTTCCGCCGTCGAGTAGTATCAAAGTATCAATTACTTATCGAGCCCGTCAAAAACCTGTCAGCAACCATCATGGGGTTTCCGAGAAATCAATCCGAAAACGATATGTAGACTGGTTCTTTTTGGAAATATGTCAAAGTGGTGAAATGGTACTCGTCCCAGATTCTCACGGGCGAAAGTTGGTCCGTGAGAAAAACATCTCATTCAGCAAGATGCGGATTTCGCAGAGTTTGGTTTGGATTGCTGTGGTTCCTTGGTGCTGGGCTGCACGATCGGATTCTCCAAATGAAAACCAGTTGAAGACGCAATCTGGTCTCAAGATGTGGGTCGATCCCGAGACACCCCAAGAAAAATACACGTGTGAGACATCACGTGGCGAAACCTGGGAGCTTGTCATGAGCGATGAGTTCAACACACCTGGAAGATCGTTTCGACCTGGAGATGATCACATGTGGACTTCGATTGAGAAACCCGACGGTGTGAACGCAGCGATGGAAGTCTATGCCCACAATAAAACCACAACGTTATGTGACGAAATCAGTGGCGTTTGCAGCTTCCAGATTGAGTTAGAAGATGCTGTGATTCAGCTGCAAGTGTGGAACAACTATCTGAGCACCCCAGGATTTGAGAATGTCACCTTCGTAAGTGTTTGCCATAGTTTGCCAAACTGGCTTTCTGGATGTTCGTCTCTCGTAATAATCTTTCTTACGGTCTTTGTCCCTTAGTTCTATCGCGGAGGTATGGTCCAGTCCTGGAACAAATGTTGTGTCCAAGGTGGGATGATTGAGGTTCGAGCACAACTTCCTGGAGCTTTGTCCGAGTCGTCAGGTAATCCGGACATTGGCTTGGACTCAAGTGCTCGAGTTCAGGCGCTCCGATATTATCCAACTTGGCCTGGGATCTGGATGTTGGGCAATCTCGGTCGTGCAATCTTCACCGGCTCGACAAATAGAATGTGGCCATTTTCTTATGATGCGTGTGACCCGGACGCGTTCAAGCCTAGCAACCAGCGAATTAGTGCATGTGACAAGAACCCCGGGTCTGGAATGAATCCGTATCAAGGCCGCGGTGCACCTGAGATAGACATTATTGAAGGCGGTGGCACAACAATTTCAGTGTCAATCCAAATAGCACCTGGCATGCCGCCGGATTTTCGAGTTATCCCACCTGTTAACGAAAACAGCCTGTGCATTTACTCCAGTTCGTGCGAGACGATTGGTGCGAACGTTCCAGGTATACCGCAGAGTGTGTACAAAGAATCGCGTGGACATCAATCCTGGTACCAGGACTTGCGGTATGCAGCAAACAATTTTTGCGAGCGAAATGCGAGCCAAGTACAAAGTTATGCCACTATAAAAGCTGCTCTAGATGCCGGAATTGAAGATAATGTGTGCTCCGTCGCGACATGTCCTGCTTCTGCGGATATTAACTCGGAATTGGGCTTTATGGATGCCTACAGCGACGATCGCTGGGGCATTAACTCGAACGGCACGTGTTTTCCGACCATGAATTCGTACATGGGCGAATTCATTTGTAGCGCTGGGAATTCTGATCCAAAATGCAAACCGCCAAACGACGGACCAATCTTGCCGAAAGACGGCGATTCCACATTTGCGTATCATCTTGATGCACTCTCTGCCAATTGGCCCTTGCACATGGCGGCGTACACAGATTTTCTAGAGTATCAAGTGGAATGGGTTCAAGGTGCAGATGGTTACGTTCGATGGATGCTGTCAGGAAATGTATTGTATGAGATTCCAGCCCAAACGATCACGAACCCTCCACAAGGAGCAAGCGTGAAGAACCCTAGCAAGATTATGGTTGAGGAGCCTTTATACTTTATTTTCAACGTTGCCATGTCGAGCAAGTGGGGCGCACAACCACCGAATTCAGGACAGCCTTGTCGTGGTGATGGCTTGGATCCAGTTGCAAATAAGATTTGTGCCTCTTTTCCAATGTACTTGAAGATTGACTACATTCGTGTGTATCAAGATGTATCACTGGGCTCAAGCATGAGCGTCGGGTGTGATCCAATGTCACATCCGACACATGAGTGGATTCTCAAGCATCTTGAAGAGTACGAAGATGAAGAGAATAAGTTTGTGGAAGTCCATGGGAAGGCCTTTTGTTGGACTGATTTGGACTGTACTGTCCAAACAGCACGTGAAACTGAGAGCATTACAGTTGCTCGAATCTTGACAGGAAAATGTGTGAAGCAGCGCTGTGAATGCGTAAGCAAGACATGGACAGGACCACGTTGTATCCTTCCCCGCAAATTAAGCGCCGTCTCATTTGGTCCTCCAGTTGCTCTATCGGCATGTATTGGCTCGTTTCTCTTGGCACTTGGAATTGTCTCTTGTTTTGCAATTTGTTATCGACAAAAACCTGAAGAACCTGAAGTTGTTGTTACGGAGAGCAAGGAAAAACAACAGCAACGACAACAATACGACCTCCTGCGACGTCAAGCACGTCAGAATCTTCATAATGCGTGGGTAGCTGAATAAGTTTATACAGCGATTTACGGCAACGTTTGATACAAATTAGCATGTATAGCATGAAGATTTACCCACATGTTGACAGAAAATTAAATCCTTATCCTTATTTTGTTAATACCCCCCCCCCCCCTTGGCGTTAATCACCCATTATAGTCTGTCCCAAAACTTTGTCCCAATCCGATTGTAATAAAAATTGTTTGATTTAATATAATTAAATTCTCGACAAGAATGTCATCGTCGTCGTCGTCCGTGCTGCGTTTATACCGCGCGATGCTGGGCAATGCCGCCAAGTTTGATGTACGTATCTTGTTTATTTATATCTTTTCCTTTTCTTGCGATTTCTATCCATCTCTAGGTGCTTTCTGGTGTTATACAAGTGATAGTTTACTTACATTATTGTATTTTACTGCTCTTTAACTGTACAGAACTATAACTTTCGCAGCTACGCCGTGCGCCGCGTTAAGGAAGAATTTCGCAAGAACAAGACGCTGAAGCCTGGCAGTTTGGAGCAGGAAAAGGTACTGGAACTTGCGCGTCAACAAGTTGATGTGCTATATCGTCAGATGATCGTGTCCAAGCTGTATCCACCACACGTTAAGAGCGTCATGGAGACGATCGGTTAGGAGAGGGTATAATCTCTAAAAAATAACGGCTCTGGACAAAAGGTGCCTATTTTATCATAGCTGATATCCAACACGTGTATCGCAATGCTTGTTACTACTCGAACTGCTAGGCAGCAAAGGGTGCCCTCAAAATAAGCCGGTAATAAAACGAGTCAATGACTAGCAAAGATTTTCTAAGATGTTTGCTGCACGCCCGCACGCACACTGATACAAATCGATACTCGCCAGTCTCTAGAGTATATCTTACATGCTCGACAGCAAGGTTTGGTATGCAAACCGACACATGAACACCACGAGTTAGCAGCATGCGGAGGTTATTCGTAAATGCCTCCACATTCTGCTAACTCGTGGTGTTCATGCGTCGATTCCGTCAAAGATAGCGTATTTTCTAGTCTCATTGCTGACGCGAACACCATGCGGGTGCACCCTTAGATCGCACAAACTTAACAGCTTGCGTTCGTTAATCTAGCAGCATATGCAATTGCCCGTGCTGCCGACTCGAGTGGCTATCTACTTTATGTATGGCAGAGGTAGCACAGCAGTTGCAAAAGATGTAGCACTGATCAACATCCATAGGTATTTGTGTTAAAACTCCTTACCAGCATCCCCGCACCGTGCAAACGCTTAAAGCTTATGTGAATCAAGTTCCTTCTTTCACGATTGATTAATTTGCTCCGTAAAGGAATATGAAAATGGCACCGATCGATCTTTCTGACCATTACCTGGTGCTTGGGAAGTTCGAGTTCCCAGTAAGAGAGAGAGCAACGTGTAGATTTGGCAAGCTTTGGGCAACCGCGGGCTTTGCAAATTGGAGTATGAGCTTTTTCGTTCAGCAAAGTACATTGAGTACACTCCCACGAAGCGAACAAGTTGTCGAGCAACGAGTTGCGGTTACCACGGTTGAAGACGCTGAATCACCGCAGCTATCGTTGAGTAGTTCCTGACGAGCCGTACTGTAACGGGCTCAACGTTACACGTACCCGTTAAGTATGCGATACTTAACGGGCAGATCTCAAAAGGTACGTAAGTACTTAAGACCTGTCGCTTGGGTGAGACACACCATGTGTCACACCCTTGCGTATGTGATATACACTAGGTGTATTCACATTGATGGGGATGACGCCCAGCTGGAACTAGGCGTCATCAAATGACGTCAGTCAGTTACGTCATTGAGCGAGCTTAAATATATTTAAGCTCGCACGTTGGGATGCGCATCTATAGAGATGGCACCCATCATTACATATTAACCAATCAGTAGTTAGATTTATATTTAGTTAAAATCTATTAAATATAAATCAGTCTTGAATTTCCTTAAACCGAAGCACCACGCACGAGAAGCTGAAAAGCTTCTACGTGACGTCGGTGCCTTCTTGTTAAGAAGTTCGTTGCACTCTCGCTTAAGCGAGAGACAATTGGTGGTACGACTGCTTAAGCAGTCGACCAACCTCCCAACCACCCTCGCACGCGAAGGTAAGACGGTATAACCGCTTCCTCGCTTGTGCATAAGGTGTGTGCTCGTAGTACGAGGCAACTTCATAGAAGTGCCCGTCTACACGTACCCTACGCTCGTTTTCTGATTCAATACATGGTCCAAACTGTTGGACAGACGGCCGAACGACATGCCGTCAGCGATCGAGTCTAGTGGTCTTGTATGTCGCTGCACTGCTCACCTTACATGTCTCGGAGATTCACGGGGACTTGATGACTAATGACCCACTGGCAGATCGCACACGCTGTCCTATTCGAAACGAGAGCTGCATAAAGCTTAAGAGACAGGTTAAAAGCATCTCGCATTGCGTGTCTGTCTCGACCCAAACGAAGATTTATACAGAAAGAGAAATACCAAGGTGAGCACAGGTAGTAGCACTGCATTTATTCTGTGATCAACCAACGTTCACTATATCGTGTTGACCAAGCATGGTGCTGTAAGATTCATATCTTAGTCACACCAAGTCTAAATGAAGAAGAGGCCCAAATGCAGTTGTAATACGTTTTAAATCGGTAAACAAAGCATGAAGCAAGAGTCATCGGCATCTTTCGGAGCAGACCGTAACGTGTATTATCAATTATGTGATTGTCTTCATAGAGGGCTAGTCTTGATTCCCTACACTACACGCCCTAGTAACATCTTGACAGCGAAAACGATCGACCGAGCGATTTCACGAAGCTATTTGTTATAGAGGGGTTTTCGGAGGATCCTGAAAACTCGGAGGCATCGGACTATATGGTTCCGATGAGATTAATTGTAGGACAACGCAAGGGAATACACGTTTCAGGTCTTTCAGATCACACGCGGGTTCAGTTTGGACTGCAGAACTCATCAGGTTTCTCTCAAAAGTGTTTTCACGAAGACTGCGTGTAGCACCCGTTGCAATATTCTCGCACAGCAAGACCACAGCTGCCATTACCAGACCGTGCGATAACTTCATGGTGCGTAGTTCTTGATAAATGGTGGTATGATGTGATGGTTGCAATGCCAATGGGGAAATGAATAACATTTCTGCCGGCCATCCGAACTCGTAAGCAGCTGCCAATCCGAACGACATTTCAAGGAAGACACCATTTAGAATGTTCATTAAACAAAAGTAGGCGCATTTCTGGTGTTCCTTGGCATTCCACAAATCTCAGATCAGACCTATCTACTACATTCAAAGTTGAAGGCTTCACTGGCGGCATTCTAGAGCGCAAATGGTTGGATTTGCCAGCCATAATCATTTCCTGTGACCTTAATACTACGTCCCACAAGATTGTGGAGACATGATCGACATTGACGTGTCACTTGCTAATTGGCCAGAGTACTTCAGTCATGGGGTGAGCTCGTTACATAATATTGACACTTATATGAAGTGTCAATAAAATATTATTATAACTAATAATATTTTGACAATATTACCTTTTCTTATAATATTGTTCCTAGATCTCCTTGAAGTTGGAGATGCCCTCTTATTGGTTGATATGGGCCATCATATCAACCAACGCGCTGACCAATGACCGATGGACGCGCGCAATGAGTGGAGGGCAAGTTGTCGACATACATAGTTGTAGTTTAATATAGTTAACATAGGTTATAACAGATTAGTTTATTAAGATAGTTAACTATATTAAATACAGTTTTCTTTTCCTCTACTTCTAAGCGTTTGTTTAGAAGTAAAGCTTCCTCTGCCTCTTGTGTACGAGAGGTAATTGAGGCACCTGCTTTCACTGTAATCAGTGAAAGTAGACTATACTGTAATCAGTATAGTCGGAGGGTGCCCCGTTACACCTGGTAGCACTTCGTGGTCCGTTCAGCGACCACCGCACCACCCGCTATGGAATCAGCGGGTGATGAACGTCATCACGCAACGCGTGATGATTTCCGCCATTTGAGTGACCTCGAATGGAATGCGGTTCAGCGTATGGCTGAAACCATCGGCAACCCTGCCGTTGGTGCCATGTTGCTCTCTCTTAGCGGAGACGACCAACATGCAACCATCGCCAAGTTCATACAACATGAACTTGACGAAGTCGTAAAGAAAATCACCTTGCTAGAGAAGCAAGGTTCTCAACAGGTTGAACTGTTGAGAGAACAAGGCGCTCAACAAGCTGACTTGTTGATGCAGCAGGGTGCTCAACAGTCTGAAGTGTTGAGACAACAGCAGGCTAGTGCTGTTGCTGCCGGGTCGACGTATACACGTCGACCCGAGTCCTTGAAGATTGATGTCTCCAAGTACAAGGCAGTCGAAAGCGACTCCTTGTTGAGATGGTTCGTCGAGCTCGACGATGCCATTGAGGCTCGTCGCATCGATGACGATGCGATGAAGGTCAAGTTCGCCATGTCGAACTTGGCAGGACGTGCCAAAGCTTGGGCCTTAGGGCTCAAACTGCACGACCCATACGGTTTCCTAACGTATGACGTCTTCAAGGCGCGGCTCAAACACACGTTTGAACCGCCTCGCGCCGAATTCAGGGCTCGGGCTGAGCTCCTGGATTTAAAACAGGGTAAGCGTGATATACACGCTTACGCCCAACACGTGCGATACCTCGTTAGTTGTATCGTACTGAACCCAATCGATGAACACACGCAGGTTACTGTGTTCATCAAGGGTCTGACAGATGGTCCTGTCAAGACCCACCTGTTCCGCTTGGAACTAGAATCGCTGGATCAAGCGATCTCTGCAGCGGAACAGGAGGACTTTAGCCTACAACAGGCTCACGTCCACTCGGGATCCTATCGTCCACCGAGACGACAGGAGGGCGGAGGTCCAGAACCAATGGACCTCTCCTATGTAGAGAGCGAGCGACCTCGCTCTCCAGGGTACAAGCGATTGCAAAAGTGCAATCGCTGTCAGAAGTTGGGCCACTACGCTTATGAGTGTAGTGCCCCACGCCCAGTGTCTCGTAACACCGGGAGTGACGATCGACCGTCTGCCAAGAAGGGCCAGAGACATGGGTCCCACGTTGCTGCGAAATCGCAACAACGTGGTGGACCATCAAAAAACGGTCGGGGTCAGTAGGGGCGGAGCGCCCTACTGATCCAGCAACGTCAAGAGAGTTCGCGGGACTCTTGACGAAGGTTGCTCCCAACACACAGTCACTGTGTGTTGCCGCTCCCAGTGATGAGGTATCCCTCATCACATTGAAGATCGAAGTGACAAAGAACATGTCACTTCGCGCCCTAGTTGATTGTGGGGCTTCGAACAACTTTGTTCGACGCCAATCGCTAGATGATCGTAGGCTCAAATATGTTGAGCGCGAGACCCCTCCAACGAGGATGACGGTGCGCCTTGCAACTGGCGCATCCGTAACAGTAAAGAAACGTGTAGTGGGAACTCACTACACGCTTGAAGGCAAAACGTACGATGATGATTTCATCGTACTTGATCTGGATGACAAATTTGATGTCATCCTAGGATTACCATGGCTCAGAAGGTACGAGCCATGGGTCAGCTGGCAGCATCGAACCGTGAAGATGCCTGCCGCTTGTTCATCAGATGGCCATCTGATGAATGTCTTGGAGCGTT